CCACCCAGGGACCCCTTGGGAAACGTTGGCCATATAAGACCTGACATCCATGCACTGAAAAAGGGACGGAGAAACAGAGAGGGGTACAGGTGCGTGGTGACACTCTGAATTAGTCACGTGTTCTCCCCTATGCAATGGGACTAAGTGCACTGTGAAGGCCAGAATTGCTTCATTGCTGTAGGAGTCCTAGCCACAGATAAAGACAGAGGGAGGGAGGAGGTTGGGTGATGGTGCTCTGGGGAGGAAGTGCAGGAACATGCCCTTCGCGGGGGGCAGCACACAGATGCGTGCACTGTGTGCGGAAGGAGCCAGGAGAAGGGGAGTGGTTCCAGGGTTGGAGAGGCCTGGGCTTAGCGGGGAGAACAGAGATTTGAGGCGTTGGTTCTGCCATGAACATGTTCAATGTCATGTACGGGTCCCAGGCCAGCCGCTCCCCTCTCAAGCACACAGACCACCGACCTGCAGTGCCCACAGAATCACAGGAGCCCAGACCATCTCCTGGCTGAGAGATCAAAAGAGGGAATAGAAGGAAAAAGGGCTTTGTAAACCATCAGGTGTCACCCAAAGCTCTCAGGCAAAGCTGCAATCAGGTAAAAAGGTAGAGAAACGTGAGGATTCATTATCATGTTCTTCCTCTTGGGAAATACATCGAGGGTTGAGAAGGCAAGGTTTGGGGGCCAATGAAGTTATAGTGTCTATTCAGGTTGCTTGGCTAGGTCTCTGTGGCAAAACAATGGGCCCTCCATCAAATGGGGAGCGGGCCCCAATCCGGGTCACACCTTAGCGGTTCGGAATCTGGAGGCCACAGCAAAGTGGAGCAGCTGGGAGGAGCCATTGGCTGAATAAAGTCTCCCACCCAACACATTCACACATCTCCAAATACAGCAAGTCCTCAAAAAATAAATGAATGAATTAAAAATAAAAAACAAATGCAATACTCACTTAATATCCTCGATAGTTCCTACAGCATCTCATGAACATTTTATAACAAAGGGACCTTAAATGAAGCGGCATTATTTGAGGATCTGCTGCAGTCAGGGGCTGGCTTCTCATTGGGGCCGAGAAACCCTGTTGGCTTGCAGGACATGGAATCTGCCTCACCTCAAGGCCAGTGAGAGGCATGGCAGATGCAGAGAGCTTGGGTTTTAGACCACAGTCTCTGGATATAGAGGAGCTATCTTCCCCAGCATTATAGGCCTTCAGTGGTTCAGATACTAGGTTGCCTGCCACTTAGAAACTTTGTTGGATTTGTATAGGGTGATAATAATAAAAAATGATATCATTTACTGACTTTTTACCATGTTCCAGGCATTATTTGTTTTGTCTATATTCACTCATTTAATCTTTATCATAGCTCCCTGTGGCAGATATTAGTAGACACATTTTACAGCCAAGGAAGCTGAGATCTAGAAAGCGTAAGCAGATCCTGATGTGAACCTGGGCAGTTTGCCTCCAGAGTTCGCCCGTGTAGCCACTGGGCTCTCTCACAGGAATAGAAAGTGGTAGTGTACACAGGATTCAATTTAACCTGCACACTTTTTACATAGCTAGTGAGTGTCTAGCACCGTATCACGTGCCTTTCCTAGAACAGCAAGCCTGTGAAGTAGGAGTTTCTATTAACCACATTACAGCAAACTGAGGCTTTAAGAATGAAGGATTGTTCAAGGTCTAACAGCTGGTAAGTGACAGCCGAGAAGGAAACCTCAGTCAGCCTGACTCCAAAGCTTGGGTCAAAAAATAAATAAAAATGGACTGAGGAGGAGCTAGATGCTCAAACAGCAACCATGTCCCAAGACGGGCAGGCATTAAATGAAAATGACTGAAAGCAGTGATCAGTGGAAGGCCCAGAACTGACCACAGGAGGTGCTGAATGAGACAGCCTGCTGACCCAGCTACACTCAGCTGCCATCAGGAGCATTTTCCAGCTGAAGATGCCACGCCCTGAGCTGGAAGCTCCCAGGGACAGGGCTGTGGTCTGATAGCACCTGGGGCAGGACCGTGCACATCCAAGGAGCCAGCTCATCTGGAGATGGCTCTGTGGTCCAGCTACTGCCACATCCCTCCTCTCACTGCCTCTCACCGTGCTGGACAGGGGATTAAAGGACACTCTCCCAACACACAGGGCTGGGCAGGAGGAAGAAGAAAAAACGGATTCTGCTGATGTCAGAGTGGGGACCTGCCTTGATATACCACTGAGGACTTTTCTGTCTGCAGAACTTGAGCTCTGACTACTGATGTGGCATCGGAAGTCAAAGGAGCATCAATGTCAGGCAGGTCTTGGCAAGAAGCTCAGGTTCTCCAAATGCAAACGAAACCTTCAGGGCTGCTTGTCTACCCCCCAGACTGGGTCACAGGTCAATGGGGTGTTGCTCTGGCTATTACTCAGCCCCTCATCCAAAAGGGGCCAATGTGTTTCCCTTCCTGGCCCCCCTCTCCAGACACTACCCACCCCAATGAGCGTCTAGGCCAGAGCTGGGACACATGTATGTTTCCTCCCCCAACACTGCCCTGGCCCATCCTCATCTTCACTTACTGTTTGTTTGTTTTTTAATTTTTATTGAGTTATCAGTCACATACCATAAAATTCACCCTTCACTTATTTTTGAGACCCTATTTACCAATAATTATCAGGTCTGAATTCAAGAACCCCTAACTAATTACACGGAATGAAATCAATTGTTCATTTATTACAAAAATTCAAATTCCTCTATAGTATTTCAACAGGAAGTACTTGTGAACACCTGCTCTGTGTTATAACGTGCACTAGGGAACTGCCTGTTGTCCTTCCAGAAGGCTGTTCCCCAGACCAGGGAATTTCCACAGCCTGAGGCAGAGCGAGAGATGCGGCCTTTTCCCCAGATCTCCCTCGCTGTCGCCCTCTTCTGGCCATTCTTAGCATCAGCATAGCCTAGGGGAGAGGCCAACCATGTGGGAGGATCAAAATTAGACTATGGAGGATGCGTGGAGCTGACAGAACCATCGGTCCCTACTTTCCAGCCTTGCCTATCCATCCCATCTGTCTGTGAAGAGTCACAAAGCATGCACATCCTGGTGATCCAGCATTTCCTCCAAAATTCCTGGAGAAAAAAATGAGGCCCAATAGGCAAACCTACCTCAAGGCTGAGACCAGGGACTGGGAGCTCTCCCAGGCAGATCTATGCCTCTCTCACCTGGATTTGCAGCACCCCGCATAACAGAGGTGCTCAATACATTCCTCAACAAGCTGATCGCGTCCCCAGCCAGACTCCAGCTCCTCCTACCGGTTCACACATTTAAGTCAAGGATCGGACAGGTGCAGGTGGAAGTTGATCCACCCTCTTTAACCCCCATCCCGTTGTTGCAGCCTCAGTTTCCCTCTTCTCAAGTCAAGACCAACATTCCTACAGTGCTCCCGAGACCCGTGATGAACTGAGATGAATTCAGACAGGGCCATGCTACCAGCTGATATTCTCTCAAATTACCCTGGAACCTTTCCCACTCAGAAGCCCTGCAAGGTACAGCCATAGGTGGGTATTCTGGAGGAATCTTCCTACACTGTCAGAGCAAGCCCCTTATAGCTGGTTTGACCTTCCACTTTCCAAAGATTCTCAGGTCTCACCACCCCCTGGGTCCTCCAGCCTCCTGGTAACCTGATCTTTTCCAGATTTCAGCTAATTCCGACGTGCCCTGCGCCAGCTCAGACCACAACCACTGCGGTAGCAACACAAATAATTACAGGGCCAACATCATTATTCCATTTGCAGAGAAGTTCCCTATAAATCATCTGAGTCTGCCTATAATTACTGTTCCCAGTTTATTGATTTTTTTTTTTTTCTTCTAGAGAGAGGGGGGAAGGGAGAGGGATAGAAACAGCAATGAGAGATTCATTGGCTGCCTCCTGCATGCCCCCTACTGGGGATCGAGCCCACCTCAGCGTGAGCCCTGACCAAGAATCGATCCTATGACTTCTTGTCCCACGGAAAAATGTTCAATCGCTGAGCCACACCGGCAGGGCTCTTGTCCCCAGCATAGAGATTAAGAGAACTGAGTTTCCAGGGAGTGAAGGCCTGGGCCACTGGCCCAAGGCACCTGCCCTTCTGCGGTTGAAGGCAGCCCCTTCCCTCTATTGACTCATTGCTGCAGGCGCCACGGGAAAGGGCCGGGCATCCCCCGTCCCAGCCGGGCATTGCCTCAGATCCATCGGTTCTTTGGGAAATGAGCCTGGTCGCCTCTGGGACGGTCCTTTCCGCGAGTCCAGCTTGGAAGCAGCGCCCCTCGGGGCACACGAGCCGGTGGGTGGCCGGTGGGGAGCGGGAGCCGCGTCGTCCCCGCCGCGGTCTGCGCCAGAGGCTCCGCGCGCCCCGCGGCGCCGCTCCCGGCGGGATTGCGGCACCTGCCAGCTTCCACCCCTCCCTCCTCGCGGGGCGACCCCGGCCCGGACCGCACGGAGGGGCCACGGGGGAGTGACCCAGCAGCAACTCGAGTCACGCACATTCTCCCTCCGCTACCCCGTCCGTCTCTTTGCCCGCTGGGGAGCTCTTCGGCGTCTAAACATTCTCTCCCCAGGACGAACCACAAAGATGTAGGAAAACTTTGCGCAAAACTTACAAACGCGGTGCAATCGGAGCCGGCGGCGACGGCACCTGAGCCCGAGAACGCCGCCCCTGCCCCGCCCGCCGCTCCGCTCCGCTCCGGCCGCGCGTCCGGCGGGGCCCGCGCCGGCCACCTGGCTGTCAGGCGGCACCGGAGCCCGCGCCCGCCCGGCCCCAGCGCCCTGAGGCCGCGGGCACCCGCCCTGATCCCCCCGATTCGCTTCGGAAACGCTCCCGCGGCCGCCGCCCCGAGCGCACCGCACACCGTGCCTCCGGGGCATTGTTTCCCGGGGCGCCCGGGGGCCTCGGCGAGGGGAGGGGAGCGGAGGGCAGACCCGCCCCACAGACGGCCTGCAGGCTGGCCCACCGCCTCATTTGCATTTCAAAGGCAAACTTCTGCCGGACGTGCCCGCGGCCCGCCTCACCTACCGGCTTTGCACGGGTCGTGGTAAGGTTCCAGCTGCGGCTCCGCGCCCTCTGCGCCCTCCAGCGCCGAGGAGTCCGGGGCCGCGTCCGCGCGCCCCCCGAGCAGCAGCAGCAGCAGCAGCGGCCCGAGGGCCCCGAGAGCGGTCGCCCCGGGCATGGTCGCGAGGGACCGGCGGGGACCGGGGGAGGTGCGTGCGCGCAAAGCTGGACGGAGGCGAGGACCGGTCCGCGGGGTCGGGTCGGCGGCCGCCGGGCTCGGGGCTTACGCGCGCGCGCCCAGCATGGCTCTGCGCGGAGCGAGCGGGACGCGGCGCCCCGGACCGCGTCGGGGACCCGAGGAAGCCGCCGCCCGGAGGTGTTTGCCCAGCGGCCGGGGCTGCGGCGGCTGGCGGCGGCGGTGGCGGTGGCGTTGGCGGCTGTGGTTGGAACAGTGGCCGCTCCGCCCCTCTCCGCCCGGGCTGGACCACACGGCCCTCGCCAGGGGCCCCGGGCAGCCAATCACTCGGACGCCCGAGGCGAAGCCCCTCCTCTTCCCGGCACCTCCGCAACTTCGGAGGAAGATGCTGAAGGCAGGGACCCTGGGTCCCCGGTGCTCCCACAGGAGAACGCGGCTCCTGGAGACCGAGGCTGGACTTCCCGCAGGGTTGGATTCGCTCACTCACTTTACAACTCCCCAGTGCTCACATGGGCCGAGGCACGCAGCAGTGGCTAGAGGTGCCGGTTCCCCTACCCGCTGCTCTCAGACAGTCGTTCCTCTGCAGGCATGAAGTCAGTCTTCTCTCGAGTCGCTTTCAGTGCAGGAAAAAATAGAGGATTTCCCTCTCACCCACGAAGGGGTGCTTTTTGCAGCGCCCACCTAACCTAGTGGCTTGGGGAAGGATACAATAATTTAAAATGACTGGTTTCCCCTCTAAGTGACCCTATCCTTTAATAAAAACAGCCTAAGATGCTTCATACGGGCAAAATGATTGACAAATGAACAGCTATACGGTGCTATTTGTGTTAAATTACAGACATATTTTATTAAATAAGCCATTCACCATTAACTTGATGGAATAAAAATGACCAATTTCTAAAGTCTGGGGGGGTTTTGCCAATTAAAAACATATGCCCAAATAATTTAGAATAATCAAGAGATATTTGAAACCCACTCCTGTGTTGTCCCTTAAATGTAAGAATTGTCAGAACTGAGCTATTTTGATTTATAGACGTAAAAAGTATTATTACCATGAGGCTTTGCAAAGACCCTTTTATGGAAGCAAAATTGCCCTAATCAAGAAGTAAAAACACACCAAATGTGTACAGACTTTCAGCATCATGCCCAGAACAACCTTTTGTCATTTAAACTGTAAGCAGAAAAATAGACTGAATTTCCCTTTTGGGTTTTCACAGGATTTCGCAGCCTCTGATGACAAAATAGTCGACAGAGAGCCCAAAGCTTGGCTTTACACAGGACTCTAAGTTTCCCGCATATGATCTCCTTCTCCTCTAATAACTAGGATAACAAGTCCTTCAAACCAGTGAAGGGTTAAGCTAACCACTGGGAGTGTGCTATGGAATATTTTGTTCTGGCCCTTAGAAATTAATACAAGTGACCCTGCTTCAGGCCATCAGTGTTCTGCAAGTAAGCACATACTGGATGGAGCTAGATTGGGCAAGATCTGGCTAGGAACTGACAGGCGGAAGGAATTTGGGGGGAAACAGATGCCACCAAATGGCAGGAAAGACCAAGTGGCCATTAAATGGGCAATAGGTGTGGGAGGGGGTTGAATGGCATTTCTGCCTGAAGGCTGGAAGGAGTCAAACCCAACGCCATAGTTCTCTGCCTCCAACTCAGTGAAGGTCACCACCTGTCAGTAGACAAGTCCACTGTCAACATCTAAAAGGCCCAACAAACTTCTCTGACACTCCCAGGTCTCCAGATGGCACTGGGCAAACAGCCAGCTGGCTTCCTTAGCCGGGAACTCCGCTGGGAAACAGACACTCCAGGGGACCTGTTGTGCCAGCACTGAGGCTGTGGGCTTTTATTGCCTCTAATCCCCACCTGGTGAGTAGTTGCTAGGTCTTCCCATCAGCACTTTGTCCAAAAGTTTTGAGGACACTGGTGCTCCTGGGCGACCAAACTGCAGTGTTATGTCAGAAGCCCTGTTTAGATGCTCCTTTTGCTATCAACCAATATCAACAAAATACTTGGATCACAGGTTAGATAGGAACAGTTGAAAAGGGATGATTAATATCTCTTTTCATTTCTTTTTAAAAATATATATTGATTTTTTACAGAGAGGAAGAGAGAGAGATAGTTAGAAATATCGATGAGAATCATCGATCAGCTGCCTCTTGCACACCCCCTACTGGGGATGTGCCCAAAACCAAGGTAATACCCTTGACCAGAATCGAACCTGGGACCTTTCAGTCCACAGGCCAAAGCTCTATCCACTGAGCCAAACCGGTTTCGGCTCTTTTCATTTCTATAGTTCCTGATTTCACTCACCATTTTGTATAAGTTTAAAATAAAAATTTCTTTCATTTAAACCCCATGAAAAAACTAGAGGTAGGTTTAAAATAAAATGCTTCATGATCTAAAGATGCCCAGCTCTGCTCCATTAAGTTCTCATTTAGGGGCTTCCTCCCCCATTGCTCCCAATTGTGCAGAAAATCTGCAAGTGGCTGTACCAGAAGCTTTTCCCTTTTCAGTCCTCCACCCAGCTCATTCCATCTATACCCTATACGCAGGGCAGCCCACTTCTTTGCAGCAGCACAAAGCCCTCCATGTCTACCATGTTCTGATAGGCCACCTTCTCATCCTGCTCTCCAGGCCACTGCACACATCATCTCCTCCGAGGCAGGGAACAGAGCTCCAGAGAGATGGGTACTCATCTGCTGTCACATTACTGATCACTGAGAAGGTACTTTGGAGTTCTTCGGAGGCGATAATGAAAAATATAGTTACCAGCGTTTAGCAGCCTTTATCAGAGCTCCTCATGGGGGCACACCAGGCCTCCATTAAACATCAGGCCTTCCTTTCCCTACTCCAGCCTTGGCCCTTGCCACCTTATTGCATTAACCACCTTGTAGTCATCCTCATAAGGTGTTGCTGCTTTGCATCTCTCTGCTGGGGACAACTTGATAACCACACAGCTTGCATCTTCATGCCAACATCTATTAAAGCAGCCGCCACACTTATAACACTTACTTATTTATGTCTGTCTGATCCTTCTGGCATATAACCTGCAGCAGACCTGTCTGACCAACTCCACTGGGAACCAACTTTTATTTATCACTCTCTAGACCCTTCATTCCCTTCAATGATCTTCAAGGTTAAGTCCTATAATCTTAGTGGCTTAGACTGAACTACTAAGAATAACCATAACATTGGCCAGGTAAAATGTTACATCAACTTCTCCCTACAACCACCTCCTCCATTTTTTAAAAAAAATTTGAAATTCCTATTACCTTAACAATTAAACCTTTGAGAAGAAGTACAAATACATGTGTAGATTACATTAGCATTGATGGACTCCACATATACCAAAGGCCTATTCCGCCCTTTTCCTAATGTTAATCAGTAAATTAACTATTTGATAAAAGTTCTCACGTTGAAATCTAGAAGCTGGGTGTATACAGATCCCTTATTCCCCTAGTTTTCCAACCAGATTAAAACTGTTCACTAAAGTGATCAAAATTAATCCAAATTTGTGCCAACTTAAACTATTTAGCAATAGGAATTATCAAGTACAGGTGTTGACTGAGGTAGCTAATAAAATCAGGGGGAGGAAAAAACCAGAGTTGACAACAATTTAAATAATTAAGATGAGATGAAAAAAAGTACATCCCATCCGGCATGGCTCAGTGGTTGAGAGTCGAACCACGAACCAGGAGGTCACTCATTCAGTTCTCAGTCAGGGCCCGGGCCCGGTTTGCATCCCCAGTAGGGGCGTGCAGGAGGCAGCCAATCAATGGTTCTCTCTCATTATTGGTGTTTCTACCTCTCACTTTTTCTTCCTCTCTGAAATGAGTAAAAATATATTTTTAAAATATATTTAGAATAAAAGTACAAACACAGGAGGAGAAATAAGCCACTGATTTTGATGTAGTAAAGAGAATCCCTTCCATCGATATAGAACACTCATTTTCAGTGTGAACTCTACACATGTCACCTGTTCCACAAGCTGGAGAGGTGACATCCATTCTATGGTTACTCAATAGGACCCTCATCCTGACAACTTCTGGGCTAATACTTCCATAAAAACGTAGGTGTCTGCCCTATCAGCGCCACAGGACAGTCATAAGGAAACATATCTGAAACTCCTTTGTAAAAAGAAGTACTAGAGAAATGCAATGTATTATCAAACAGGAGAATGACAGGCATGGGGGAGTGTAGGGTTTCTGTGTAGGAGTCGGAGCTTGTATGGAAAAGATGTCAAAAAATGATCATAAAAGAAAAATCATTTTTAAAAAAGACAACCCTAATTCATTGTAACATTCTTTTCACTTTCTGTACATTGTTTTTTTCCAAAATACAAAGTTGGGCGAAATAAAATCTTAAATCCTTCATGTCAGGTGTCAGCAAATGATGGCCCCGTCTGTTTCTGTCGTTATATTGGAGCACATGCATCCTCACCAGTTTATGTGCCGTCACCACATGCTACAATAGTCAGTCGCAGCAGAGACAGTATGGTGGTTCTCAAAGCCTCAAATAGTTCCTACTTGGCCCTTTACAGAAAAGGTTTGCTGAACCCTACTTTATGTAATTGCAGGAAGCTATCAGTCATCTCTTCATATGTGTGCCATTAATAACGGGTTATCCCTTATTCTTGGTTCACCTGTTTCAAAAAGGAAAGAAATAAAGGCTCCAAGGGAAGTACATTTAACTTTTTATTACTTTTAAAAATCCAACTTCAGTTAAACAGACTAGATTAGAACCTCAAATGTATTTGATACATTATATAGTGGATTTCTATTACTAAAAAAGCCAGCTGGAATATGGCCTACATAAACCAAGGGTGTGTACAAAATAAAAGTAATCACCAAGCAATAACTGTTTCTTCCAACTCTGTCACCGATCACCTGCGCTCTGTGGGAATTTATAGATTCGAGCTGGGAAGAGCTGAAAGCCTGAGTGGGACTGCTTTCCCAAGGACACTCTGGCAGCTTTTAAATAGGATTCCACATTATTGCTTCCTTGCCTTAAGCTCTTACTTATAACATTTAAAACCTTCAAATGATCTAAACTGATGAACTGGGCTAAACACACCGAATGCTGCTTTATCAGTCAAGTATTAGCAATCTTATTTCAGCAATACTTCAATATAAGTGGCTTTCATAACAGTTCATTTCCATTTCCCAGCACAGTGAAATAACTTAATTTTTTACTATTGTCTTTGTACTCTTCTGCCTACAGCTCCGATAAGAATGTCAAATCAGATAGCTTTTAAGAAATACTCACAAGAGGAACTAATCATTCCTCATACTGAATTTAAATCATACAAAATTTCTGCAGCTGTATGCTAACTTTCTGATCTACCTTACCTCTAAATCTAGTCTTTCTGCATACATTTCCAATCTTTTAAAAATGTCACTTATCTATTTAACATCTTTGATTGCTAAAATTCAGCTTCATAATTAAAATTTTTATGAAGATATAAAACATTAATAAATACGTTTTCATACATAACTACTCCTATTTATTAAGTGTTCCAATAACTCAAGAGAATAAAGCACGAAGACACTCTAAAAGCTAAACTTAAAACCCAGGTGGAACTACAGTGTATAGATTACAAACAGGCTTTTCTTTCCTAGACTTCCTAAACAGAAGCCCTTCGGTATGTAGCTTTTCCTGAACAAATTACATTAATACATTTTTTCTTTTTTACATTTGTAAAAATTCAGGAAAATTTAAAATAACATTTATTTGCAAGACATTTGGCATAATATGGATAGTACATATTTAAGAATCAAAAGCTTTATCAAAATGAATACAATTTGTGGATAAACCCTAAATAAAGTGGCTTTTGGAAGAACTAGGATTTGCAGCAACCTTCTTTATAAAGAGGTCCATCCACTCTCCATGGAAAATAGCCAAGCATACCATTCACTAGGTAAATACACCATTCCCATTCAGCTATCATCACATAATAATGAATTGTAAGAGTATGGTGTTTGATTTATGGGCAAACCCAATACAATCTCGGAGCCCAAACATGACCTAGTAAAGAATGCTTCACCATCCCTCCAGCCTTTTCATTTCCACCTTATCCTACTCTTGCACAATTTATACATATATAAATTTTAGGAGAAATATGCTTACGATACAAGGGGAAAGTAAATCTTTAGTTTTTGGTCGTGTTCAAAGCATCAGTTGTGAAGTTGAGCAAATAATATTAATAAATGAGACAGATATGCAGCATCAATAAAGTGGGAAAGCCCCATCCTTTAATTACTTAAATATTTTATTTTACTCGTCTACAACTGAGATCTAGGGAGCTAAGCCATTTGTGAATTACATCTTCTTCAAGACATACCACAGCCAGCCCCTCTATGAAGACGTAAATCAATACACATTTTCTAAAGGACTTTTCAAGGTGATTTATATTCATTTTAAGGGACCTCTTAATATACATGGAAATTAGAAAACTATTTTCCACGGAAGATTCCAAAAGATTTCAAACAGAGCTCAATTTAATGGAAAGAAATGGTGTACCTAAAGGCAGCGAACCCACTCATTCTTTAAAAACCCTAATCTTACCTGCAAAACTCATGAAAAAACAAATTTCATTTTATTATAACAAAAGCTTGCTGTCCAATTTGCAATCCACCAGACTATATGCTGTTAGAAATATAAACCATTATATACTGACTTTTCATTTTTCTTATAAGATCCTAAGGTAAGGTAAGTAAAAAGGAAGAGAAATTGAAATCACCAGTGTATTACGTTTAATATAACATCTTGGTGTGAAGAGGATTTACCTATAACTTCTGATCAAATTTCTGTCAGCCACACTTGAGTGGTAAGATACCCCATTTTTTCACTTTATAGTCGTTACATACCACATGTAGGATGCAGAGTTTACTAACTGATAAATATTTTGTGATGAAAACATCTTATGTAACTATGAATGGCATGAGTTTCACAATAAGGTTTAAATATAGCTGTTCTGACTCTTCTAAAAATACCAATATACAGAATTATTTTAGGTGGTCATTTGCATAGCAAACTATTAAACTAGAAACTCAATGGTTCTAGGAAAACTTCACATTATGGATAGTTCCAGAAAGATGTATTCAAAATGAAAATCTCTTCTTTTAGAAAATTTTAATCTTTATTTGCTCATCCGATAGTAACCTAACCACTTTTACCCCCCACCCATTTCACAGGGTACACCAACCTGTACAGACTTTGTGCCACAATTTCATTCAAAGGGCTTATCATTCACTTCTGACTGTACTGGATAATCTAGATGTAAGCAAGTTTGGGGATTTTAAAGTGTGAGTTCCCTGTATTAAAAAAGCATAATTTACAGTTTATTTAAAAACTGCATTCAATAATGTTGTCTTTTAAAAAGATAGCTTCAAATTGCAAACACATCTAATTTCACAAAACAATTTGATCAGGAAATTTTATTTTAACATTCTAAAGCAGTATGCTTTAGATGTTATTTAAGTGCCCCAGACAAGATTAACAAAATTAAAGGTTTCTAAATTACAAATTTAGTTCCTGTAGGAGTCTCAGAAAAGAAACAGAAAACAATCCCCCCCTTCCCAAAAGAAGACACACACACATTTTGAAGAAACCCCAATGTTTCATGCAGTGGTAGGCAAGATGTAAAAAGCTACCCAAACTCACACATTTCTACACCAATCATCATCAGAAAAAAGTATTCCGTAATCAATCTGTACAACCAAATACATTTGGGAATCTACACCTACATTACATTATTTAATGTTATATACATTTATTACCCACCCCCCTTGTTTTTAATAATTTCTTATGCAAAACCTTCATTCAAACCCAAAAAAGATGTAAGACTAACTTGGGGAGTGAGAGGGGGGAGAAAAGATAATCACTTAGGACATTTAGTTAAAATGCACTTTATCTAAATCTCAAAATGTTTAATAAAACAAATATGTTCTCCATTTAACACTTTGCTTTCTAACTGTACAGTAAATTGCATTGTAGAGAATACACCTCTATCTTCAGACTGTATCTTCTTTGGATGGAATTAAGATGTAAATACATGGGAAGCTGGTCCAACTAAGATGACAGCAGATATATTACATGCAGAATTTAATGTTTTTAATTCTCTCTTTTAGAAAAAAGATGCAGTTGAATTGGGGGGGTGGGGGGGATGCTCAAAAAAGAACCCAGGTTCAATATATAAAAATGTCCCACAATAGGTTGATGATAACAGTAAAAATAAGAGAAAAAATAATATTTCTGGAACATCATTTTTCAATAACATGGAGACACTAAGTGCTAGGAAGATTTCTATTCATGTAATTTTAGCATCCAAGTTTCCCTCTAGTCATTTTATTGGAACAAATGCTTTAAAGAAACTATTTGTCCTCTTCACTGAAGAGAGCTGGTCTATTTCATCTTTAATGATCTAGTTTTTGGGAAGATTAGCCATGTACTGTAGTAATGCCTACTGCATAAAATCCAAGCATTTGCTGTGAACAGTTGGAGAAAGCAGTCAGTAAGAACCTAGGATCAATGGAAATAGATGTTACTTTACGCCATCCATGAGAGATAGACCCACAAAGTACCCAGTGTTAACGCCCAAATCTCCTCTTGCGCTTTTTTTGCTGTGCAGGTTCCACACTTATGAAAGAGAGATTGATCCAAAGTTCCAGGTTTTCTTGGGTCTCTAGTCAATTTTCACATTAGTATAGATTTTTCGGACAAAGGCACTTGTTCCCATGTAACCAATCGCTCCTGTAAAGATAAAATAAGGTTTTGAAACAAATACATACAGAACAATATCCATCATTTACAAACACTAAATGCCCTCTGCTCTGGAGAGTTCTCCTTTTTTATCAAGATAATGTCTTTATATTAGTATTCTCTTTGAACTTGTTAAAATTGTATCATTTGTTTTGCAAATTACCTGTTATTTCCATACACCAAGTTTGGCCTGATACATTTTTAGAATTAAGTAACAATTATTATATATGTAATCAATATATATTAAAATACATCTCTTATAAAGCAAGAATAATTTGTTAGTAACAAAAATATGTTAAATGAAAAGACAAAATGGGTCATCCTATATAATAAAAAGCTAATATGCAAATCGCCCAAACTGCAGAACCACTGATCACTATGATGCGTACTGACCACCAGGGGGCAGACGCCCAATGCAGGAGCTGCCCCCCTTGGTCAGTGCGCTCCCACAGGGGAACACCACTCAGCCAGAATCTGGGCTCATGGCTGGCAAGTGCAGTAGCAATGGTGGGAGCCTCTCCCACCTCCATGTGAGTGGGACTTCCCCCGAGGGCTCCCAAAGTGCAAGAAGGCACAGGCCAGGCTGAGGAATCCCCCTTTCCCCACTCATTGCACAAATTTCGTGCACCAGGCCTCTAGTGAGATAATAATTATTGATGGTAAGTATGTTAGGTATATGGGGACTAATCAATAATATTTTTCTTTCAGTTGCTGATACATAATCTGATTAATATAATTCTGTATCATGATGACATCTGAGTAAGTTTCAGCCTGACCTGTTTCCCCTCTGCCTCCCAAAATGAAAGCATATACACCTACCGAAGAACAAATATTGGGACACTGCCAGCACGACAGGCAACTGTAAATGTGCCAAGATTTTCAAGTAGCAAAATGAAATTTCAACGGGAAAAGTATTAAAAATTTTACCTAAATTCATTCCATTTTATTTGTAAATGTCAAGATATTATCTCTCTAGGTCAAAGATCATACATCAAGTCAAGAAAAAAAAAAACACAAAATATTTCTGCACAATTCCATTATTCTATATCTTACCGAATAGTGGTGGTAATCAAGAAAGACCTCAGATGAAATAAAGAGGAACTCTATGAGCAATATTCTGATGAAAGGATGGCCAACAGTACTAAAGGAACCTTCTGATTGCCTAAAAAATACATCAGGATGTTCCCAAATCTAGTTTTAATCTTCGGTTCCTATTCATCTTCCCCCCACAGTTAGTTAACTAATTAATTATCACAAAGAAAGGTTATCTCAACAGCTAAATAAACATGTGATGATAATACAGAGAAATGTCTTCCCTTATTGTCTGTGGAATGAGTTTTACTACTTGACAACAGATGTCAATCATAGTGTGTGTGCACACATAATCATATACATTGTATATATGAATGAACATATTCTTTTTTTGATACAAAACATTTTATTAGTTTTAATTGTGCAACAGTGATTTGTTATTTGTATATACTGTGAAATAATTATTACAATAATTTTATTTAACATCCACCACCATACAGTTACAAATTATTTTTCTGAGATCTATTTTAGGATCTAATGTCTTAGCAACTTTCAAATATACAATACAGTATTATTAATCATAGTCATCACGCTGTACATTACATCCCCAGAACTCTGGAAGTTTGTACCTCCAACATCCACCTCTAACTCCCATCAATATGGAGAAAAGATTCTTCTGGTAAAGAAAAAAAGCAATCCTGCTACCCAAAGGGGTCCACAAATGTCATACTAGAACCTAGTTTTTAACAAGATGATTACATCTGCCTTATTCTATTACCCACCCTATAACTATAGGTGGGACTAAAAAAAAATTAAAAAAAATAAAAAATAAAAAAAAGTCAACCAGAATCTTATTTTGATGTTGCTGATCAAATAAAATATAATTTCTTAATTTCCCATTACTGTATTTTTCTGATTCTGAAACACTCAAATATTTACTCATGATATTCCAAGATTTTTAACTTACCACACATTATCCCCAAGGCTGTGCTAAATACCGCCATATATCCAAAGTAAAATGATGTTTGAAATAAGCCATACATCCTGAAATAAGACAAAATAAATATATATAGTATATCCATTTTCATTCTCAACGTAAGGCCTTAAATGATAATATTTAAATGAGTAGTTCTGTTCCTAAACACAAATGAGAAAATGTCTCAACTTACTTTGTTTTGAAAAAATAGTAGTAAAAGGAATACATGTAAACATAGATTGCAGTTGATGCAGCAGAGAGAAAACTTGTCCATTGCCTAGGAGGGAAAACATAGCTTTTTAGAATGAATGGCACTGAAATGAGGATTTTAAAAAGCAAATCATTTCATTTTTTAAATCCTTCGAAATTTTGTATATTTAAAAACAAATTATGTACTTCACATTTAAATATGTGAAGCTTCTCATAAAGCTTCTTCCACATCTAGCATTCTGTAAAAATATTTCTAACACATGACCCTCATTAATACAAAAAGACTGACACTATAACAGAAAATCTTCACCATCTTTATCTATATCATTTTTATAACTGAAAAATTCCCTATACTATTTTAAGTAGCACATTTTTTAATAAGATGTTTTACTTCACTCAACATACTTCAAATGAAATCTTATTTTAAAACATTATGGTCCCCAAAGGTTCTTCCCCAAAGTAAGTACTCACCACCTATAGTCCTCCGCGTTCAGCAGGAAGTACGTGCACACAATGGTCACACAGACCGTCACAATGCACAGGATGACCAGCACCAGCATCATGAAGCCGTAGACATAGTAGATCTTGTATGCCCAGAAAGAGGTGAAGATGAAATACCTGAGTAAAAGGCAGAGACAGCTTTCTAGTTTTTATCTTAACGCTTACCCTGCTCTTGGTCAGTCTCTCATCTTAGTTCCCACTTTAATGTCAATATTTTTCTCTCAAAAAAACAGCAAAGGCCAAGGTTCACAAATGAGAAAATGCACTGTATTTTGAAAAACTCAAAAGATCAGTGAGGAACTTCAACTGAAGGAGTGACAGCTGAGATGAACGTGAACAGGGCCATATCCTGTATCATGAAGATCCTTATTGGCCTTGTTATGGAATTTGGAGTTACCTTAATGAAAACAAGAGTCTATAGCAAAGTAGTGACATGATCAGACTGATACCTTTAAAAGATCACTTTGATCACCAAGGGCAGAATGGCACGGTGTGCAGGAGGTCAAAACAGAGGTTAAAGATATAGCAGAAAGGCTAGCTAATGGAACAAAATGCCTGAGAAAGCAAACAAAGATGTGAGCCAGAAGGAACTGAGGATGGGGACAAGAGGGGAAAACAGTCGGCGGTTAAGTCAAGTTAAAGCAGTGTCAGATGTAAAGCTCCTGAACCAGCTGTATTAAACCATGAGCTAAAGTGACACAAACACCAATCCAATCCCTCTACAAGGTATTGACTAAAAGCCACAGCTGGTACGTGAGCACCAGGAGTTTGTCCAAATCTATACAGTTGTACTTGTTAGTGTAATTAAACAATTTAGTTAATGTCACATAAGCCAATAAACAAGAGCACAAAGGATGTGGGATTTCTATTAATAATTATTTTAAATGCTTTAGGAAAATTCAATATGGTGAGTTGCTAAAAGAAGTTATAAAACTAAGTGTGGGTGAGATGACTATAAAAGATTGGGGAACGAATGTTCAAATCTAGAAGGATTCTGCACTTAGAATGCTTCAGACAGGTCTTATGTTGTTCTTCCTCCACTTTATAAAGGCTGGAGAACACAGAGGATGTATTATGAAGGTCAAAGGAAAAATGACGGAAACACCAACTAGATACAAATTAAAGAAAAAACTTTGGATTAAAAATTTTTTTTTTAACTCAGTGAAGAATGTATCTTTTGTTGTTTTAAGTTAAAATTAAATGTTATGTATATTATTTATAATTCCCTTACATGAGGCAACTTTATCAATTAATGAACTATCAGGTCCAATCATGTTTGTTAAGGAGGCATACACTGTGCAGGAGAGATCAGCAGTGGGGCAGTTAACAGGAAATGTGTAGAGGAATTTTGAGCAGTTACAATGACTGGCATTTCATGGGCAGGGGCTGTAGGCCTGCAGTTCTGGAGAAAGAATCATACACAGAACTGCCTTGCCTAAAATGCCAGCACATTTGCATCAAGAAACTCTGGCACCCAGGCAGAGAAAAGGAAGGCTGACATTTTGCAATGGTAACCAAGAATGTAGTTGTGAAGCATGGTAACTGGGCATAAGGTGGCATACTTCTCTCCTGCCCACCCCTACCCCCCCTAAATAAATAAATAAATAAATAAATAAATAAATAAATAAACAACCACCACACATTTCCTAGCACTCCTGCAGGTCTCTATGAAAGAAAACTAGGAATGACTATGCCTCCAAAGAAGTCAGGATAGTCTGACAGGTAGTTAATAGTTTACCTAGTTCCCCGGACACTCAAATATTTACAATAAACTCCAGTAATTCCTTCCATTGTGCTTGTGACCAAAAGCTGGTTTAGCATTCTCTAGCATGCATGGTTTGATTTCTAAGATTTCTTGTAGAATGAGAGAGGTTTAGAATATAATGTAAAATAAGTATAAACTTCATCTGAATATTTCAGAACAGAGCAGAATACTACTTTTAAATAGATATATAGACCCCTTTCTGGAAGCCATGGAATTAACAGACTAACTCTGATGCTTTCCCATCCTACCCTAACTCCTAAATTCTCTAATTACAGTTAAATCCCTCAATGCATACATACATTGCCAAAACTTACATTTCAATGAAGATTGAGCCAAAAGGTAAAATTCCTCCCAAGCAAACAATAACTGCAGGCTCCATAAACCTGGAAAATATTAAAATTAACATTAAAGTTCTAGTATGCTTTTATGTTATATAAATCCTAATAACAGAAAGAAGCTTCTAAATGATAGAAACAAATCAGTAAAAAAAAATTAAAATTAAAATACAAAGAGTATAACACCGAATTGGGACTTCAAATTAGTTCTAGAACAGAGTCAAAATTCTTTCCAGCACTAAAGGCTGAGATAGGAATTTAGGAAACACAACTTCTTGCCAATGAAACAACTCTAAGTCTTAAGACCCCATCTCAGTAATGTTTCCCAAAGTGCGGCCTTGCCATTTCTTTGCTCAGTCTTTCATTGGTATAGTAATTCCTTTTGCTATGAGTTATACAATGAAGATATTAATGGAGCCAAAGAATGAAAAATTAAATTTCAAACCTCATTCATTCACTCAATAAACATTTTACTATTTGCAACTGGAAATTCTCTACCTGGAATGCCTTATCTGGTCTCATACTTCCCTGCAAGTATTAGCTCAAGTGTCGCCGTAACACCTTGTCTAAGTCTCCCAGAAAGAGGAGGGTCCTTCCACTGTCCTTGAATATAACTCCCCCACAACAGTTAACACACTGTCTAATTACATACATAACTCACTCGACCATAAACTCTGGCAGGCAGAAGCTATTCAGCTATGTATTCCCAGTGCCCAGCAGTGCCTGGCACATAAATGGTACTAAATTAAAACTCTGGAATGAACAAACTAAAAAACTGAGAGGAAAATAAAAGAATCTGAAAGCTGGAAAAACTTAAAAATCATTCAATTTAGTCTTCTTTCCTCATTTTATAGAAAGTCAAAACCTATATAGGTTAAAAATGATTTGTCCAAGAGCGTTGGCCCTCGGACTGAAAGGTCCCGGGTTCGATTCCGGTCAAGGGCATGTACCTTGGTTGCGGGCACATCCCCAGTAGGGGGTGTGCAAGAGGCAGCTGATTGATGTTTCTCTCTCATCAATGTTTCTAACTCTCTATCCCTCTCTCTTCCTCTGTAAAAAAATCAATAAAATATATTTAAAATAAAAAAAATGATTTGTCCACCCCTGGCCAGTGTAGCTCGGTGGTAGAGCATCGGTCTTTGGACCAAAGGGTATTGGGTTCAATCCCTGGTCAAGGTCATGTATCTGGGTTGCAGGTTTGTTCCCCAGGGGGGCACGTGCAGGAGGCAACCAATGGATGTGTCTCTCTCACATTGATGTTTCTCTCTCTCTCTTTTCTCCCCCTCCCTCCCTTCCACTCTCTCTAAAAATCAATGGAAAAAATATCCTAGGGTGAGGATTAACAAAAAACAAACAAACAAACAAATCTGCCCCCAAGATGATACCGTGAGAACCAGATCTAGTCTTCAGATTTTGGTTCCCATGTGTCTATATAAAGCAAAAGAAAATACACACTCATCTTCCTACACCTAAATTTTATCCATGGTTGGCAAGGTCATGTGTAGGTTCTTCCTCTCCTCCATTAGCCCTAGTGACCTAGAGAACCATTTTGATTTCTGACTATGCTTTCCCTTTAAACTTATCCTCCCTAGTAAGAGGTGAACATCAGGATATCAATGGGCCTCAATAATCAAATTTGAAAATTATAGTTGAGTTATAAAACAGACTAGAAAATTCTCTTAAGACCAATCTTAGAAAAACTTTCCCAGTAATAGGGGAACATCAAGATATCAATGAGCCTTAACAATAAATCTTTAAAATATAGCTGAGTTAAAAAAACAGACTAAAAAATTCTCATAAGCCCAATCTAAGACAAAAAGAACAAGGATAATTAGACTAGAACAGATGACTCTCCTTTAAACTATAGGAGCTATTTTATTCAGCCTTTCCTTCTATAAATGTCTACATTCCTCCAAGTCTACAAAACATTGTATAAGTACCTGAATATGATACATTTAAATGTGGGAAATAGGAACAGAGGGTTCAATATATAACCCTTATTATGAATATGTAGTCTTCTGTACAGCAAATCTTATGAGATGGGGAATGTAATAAATGTACAGTTAACACTATTTTTATATGCAACTAAGAATTAGGGGGAAAAGAATGCTGAATAGAATAAATCAATTTAATAAATATTAAATTTAATATTATATTAATTATATATAATATTCAGTTTACTAATTTTAAGAGAAAAAATACGTAAGTGTTGAGTTCACATTTTGTTCAGATTTTAATTACAGGAGTTAGAAATATAAAGATAAAAGCTGGTCATAAATCATCTCAAATTAATTACAATACAAATCATCTCAAATTAAAAATCATCAAGAATCATATTTTGAAGGCTGATTGGTCTATTAAACTGAAAACTATGTTTACTCTGTTGCAACTGAAGAGTCTCTCTCTTCTTCTGTTAAACAAAAATACTTGTCATCTTTCGTCAGGATTAATCTTGAATTATAGGAAGGCCTCAAGAACACAGTCTATGCATACAATGTGACAGAATGTATTTGAGAGATTCTATGTATCCCAGAAATGAAGATAAAGACCACAAGTCAGTAAACTACATTCGGTCTCAACCCTAATTCATCTCTCAATTTGTGGAATATATCTGGCTATAAGTGTATGCCAGTATTGTTTAGAATAAAAAATATCTGGAAAGGAAAATCAAATGGTAAATGAGGCATTGGCAAACTTTTTCTGTAAAGGTTTAGAATTAGGGGTGTCGAACTCAATCAGAGAAGGGGCCAAAATCTAAAATCCAACCTAAATCGCGGGCCGAATGGTTTACTGAACAGTCATAAACTGTCATTGTGATGGAAACACAGCGGAGTGCAGTGATGACAGCGTGGTGCGGGCCACATTGCAAGGCCTGGCGGGACGGATTTGGCCCGAGGGCCTTGTGTTTGACACATGTGGTTTAGATAGTAAATACTTCAAGTTTTGCAGGTGATATGGTCTGATATAACTTTCTCAACTCTAATGCTGAACTGTAAAAGCAATCAGGAATAACATGTGAATGAACAGGCATGTTCCAACAAGACTTATTGTAATAAAAACAGCAGAAAATAAAATTTGACCTGTAGACTGCAGTTAAACAACTGTTGCACCTTTAGTTCTCACCCACCCTTACACGTAGTATACTTATCAAAGCATTTGACTTATCTGTAAATGCACCAATATTCAAAAACTGAAATAAGGTTAAAATTTATTACTATTTCTATCTAACAAATAGGTTGAAGGAAATGTAAAAAGACAAATTAAGTCAAAATTTATGATAGTCATTCTTGTAAATACAATCCAATTCTAAAAGGTGTATCCATATAATAGCCTTAACAACTTCTATATTGTGAGAAACAGTCACTTAAGATTTAGCATTCTCTTTACCATTTTTTCTCCGGTATGGGACGAGGCACAGCATTGACACGACAAGGAAAGTTGGGCTGACCTGACAGATTTCGGCCAAGTATTGTACCAACAAGATTTAGAGGAAGAATAACGAAAAAACAGATGCAACAAACAGCCACCTGTAAATTAAATTAAAATGTATATAATTACTCAAAACGGTAACATTAATAAAAATAAATAAAAGGGATATAAAAATTTAAGCACAATTTAAATCACAAAAGAAAACACCAAGGTTCAATCTAGTTTAAAATTGTGCAGGATATACACAGATGAAAATAGGAAAAGAATGTGCATTATAATATTAGAATTGAACTAAATATAAGTTGAAGTATTTCCTATCTACTTTACTTCCCTATTTTTCCTATTCCATACTGTTTCTGCTGGAGTTCTTTTTTCTCTTCTTTCACTTTCTAAAGTTTTAACAGGTCATGCTTTCAACTGCCATGCTTGCAACATAGCCTTTATTTTTCCTCACCATAACCAACTTATTTAGTACTTGGTTACACCTTATTGAGCTCCTAATAGGCACAAAGAGCTTTATATATGTTATTTCACTATTTTATGAATGAAATAAAAGACTTAAAAGAAACTTAGTAACTACTATGATCACACAGCAAGACAAACTAAAATTTCAATTCAGATCTGCCTGTCTAAAAGTCCATGCTCAGCCCTAGCTGGTTTGGCTCAGTAGAGTATGGGCTTGTGGACTTAAGGGTCTGAGGTTCGATTCCAGTCAAGGGCACATGCCTCAGTTGTGAGCTCGATCCCCAGTAGGGGCATGCAGGAGATAGTCAATCAATGATTCTCATCATTGATGTTTCTATTTCTCCCTTCTTCTCTGAAATATATATATATATATATATATATATATATATATATATATATATATATATTTTATTTTATTTATTTATTTTTTTTAAGTACTTGGGAGAGATTGCCGGTTTCATATTAAAAAGTTCATATTTTTTCAGTTTAAAAGTATGACTCAAGCAGCTTACCATTGTTCCAAAAGGAATGGCTCTTGAAGCATGGTAATAAATGGCTATAAAATTGATGAAGAAGGCAGTACCACACACCATAGCTGGGATAAGGAATGCCCCAATAAACATCTGCTTTATCCATCTCCTTCCTGGAAGAGAAGGGAAACTATGAAAATCAGAGAGGTAAACAGACAGGCATATATTAATGGTTAAGAGCTAATTATTTAGTTCCTAATTTGACTTCCTAATAACTATTTCAAAACATAAGCTAGTAAAGACTAGTCTGGCTATTCAAGTGCATCTAATGGAAATGCAGTTTTTGAAGAGGGATGAACTGGAAAAGAGCAATGAACTAGTAAATATTCTGATGTTTTGTCTTGATTTTGCCACTGATCTGCTATGAACTTTGGTAAGCCACTCAATCATTCTGGGCTATAAGTTGGCTTAGAAAGGTGTTTTGAAAATGTTGCTTGGAGTTCTGGAGCTTCTTGTAGGTGCCAATGGAGTCACTGGTGAAAAAAGAGCCCAGGTCACCAAGCCCTGGTTCAACCAGAATAAGTTCAATTTTACAGTTTTACACACTGGGGTTTCAGGGAAGCTTCACTGGGGACTGCACTGCTTTAAAAAAAAAAAAAACTAGTTTAAACAGTCCCTAAATTTACTCTTAGCTCGCTCATTATAAACACATATTTAAATGTATCTCCATTTTAAAAGGAAAAAAATGGAATGTGTTTCATGAGCTCTCTCAGCCATTAGAACTATCGATGCATAAGCTTTATTATTTCTTTGCACCTCTTTGTATTGCCAAAATTCTATGCGGTGAGCACCTATTATTTAAACAACAAAGGGAAGTCATTTTTAAGCTAAGCAATAAAACATGTTAAAACCCGTTCAGTGACCAGGAAAGCCCCCAGTGCACTGCTGTGGAGGCCTCTTCATACTGCTTAGGGACAAACGGGAGATTTAACACTGGCTCACTATTCTCATTCAGCTCCACAATCATAAGCAATAGTGACCCAAACAGGAAACTCTTTATGGACACTTTATCCATAAGCCATAAAACATGCCTTCATAGTCAACTATAAAGCTATAAACTCTATGTGGAGGCCTCCCATGGAACTAGGCACCTCAAAGTAAAATAATATCAATAACTTCTATATACTTTCTACTACATGTTCCTTAGGCCTAACTGCTGAGTAAGCAATGGATAGAATCTATTCATTGTTCACAATTTTAGAAAATAAACTACAAGGAGGTTCAATAAAGGCAAGATAGAACACATAATAGGTTTGTTGGAGATTATGTGAAATGTGATAGCAAAGAATTTTACAATGCCTGTATTGCCCATTTTAAATTAGAAATACCTCACCATAAAATATTAGCATCTATAATTAAAAATACAAAGTGATAAATCATAAGTTACCTCCTTGTCTAGCATATAAGCTTCCTCCAAAATAACCATTCACTGGAGACGTAGCAGCATAGACAAATATGGCTGTACTGAGCATGGATCCCCTCCTAAGAAGGTGAAAAGATGTATAAGATAAATTAACACCAACAACTTGAAGAACATATCATATAACCTATCATATTAACATTAGTTTAATTTCAAAGATAAATTTAACAGGAACACAAAAATATCATCCTGAGCCCTGGCTGGGTAGCTGAGTTGGTTAGAGCCAAAGTTGGGGGGGTCCGATCCCTGGCCAGGACACACACAAGGATCAACCAATGAATGCACAAATGGGTAGAGCAAAAAATTGATGTCTGTCTGTCTGTCTGTCTGTCTCTGTCTCCACCACTCCCCCCCTCCTTTCTAAAAATTAATAAAACAAAATGTATATATACCATCCTGGACTGCAAAAGGTTGCCTAGTAAATGAATTTCCAGTTAAAATTACACTTAAATGGTACAGGCTGATGATCCTCATTTTTTTAAATCTGCATAAATTTCATAATATATTTCTGAAGAAATACAGGGAGGGGAAAAAACAGGTTTATAGTTGTTTATATGGAAAATAATACTATGAATACATGGGGGGGGAAAAGTGTTTCATGACTCAACTGTAAACCTACATTTGCCCACTCTGTAATATTATAATTCTTTGGCAAAAATATTAGAAGCTGGCACTAAAACTGTTTTTGTAACTCTGTGAGCCAATCACATAATATGGAAAAGAATATTCATCTGTTAAGAAAAATAATTAGAATATTCCTCTTTATAATTTAACTGCTTAAGTTTCATGCTTGCTGACAGAAATATAAGTATTGTAGTAAAATCTATTACATTATTGTTATTACTTTAAACGGTATAACACTGAGACATTTTTTATTTAGTTTTCCTTATACAGTTAAAAGTTGTTTTTTAAAAATCCATTGGTTCACAAATCAACTTTATTCATTTCAACAATTTCTAACCTCTTCTTACAATAATAATAATATCTAGGATATTCAGACCAACCCTCTTGAGTAAAACTAGACAAAAATTTTAAAATGCTAAATTGCAAAAAGAAAAATTAAAAGAAGTGACAGTATCACTTGCCATAATACAGAAATGTACTTAAGTCACTAACAATAAAGACCATTTTTTAAACTCAATATAACTAGGAAGGCAAAATATGTTCCACATATAGAAAATATTAGAAGCTCTAGTCATAGATAGAACATATATTCTTGTCAGTTTGAGCTAAAGAATAAATACTCTTTTTGAAGATAATTTATAAGAACTAATGTATGCACTGGGAGATAATACAATTTTTACAAATTAACCACCTTATGGGTAATAATTATTATATTCCACTTAAAATACAAAGACATCATATAGACTTGAAATATGTAACACTCCTCTGCCCAAACACCTATGCTCAATTTCTAAAAGTGGATATGTAATAGTTAAAGCATTTCAATGTTCAATTTCCATCAATATATAGCTAAATATAAATGTGGTAATAAGAATGTATCATTCCTGCGTTTAAAAGATCACACGTCTCAAAAAGTCAGTTTTAAAAATCAAATTAGTTTTTTCAAGAACCCAATTAAACAATGCAAGTATTCACTTAATCCTTCCAGACTATCAACAACTCCAACCCACTTTCTGTTTATAACTTGGTGTATGAGGCTCACATAGGACTAACAATGCTGAAAGGCTGTTTTAATCTAAGACCAATCTACTTCAGCAAGCATTCTATATAACAAAAGGCTAATATACAAACTGTCCCCTTGGAAGTTCAACCGGGAGACCGGGACTTCGATCCCTCGTTGACCACCAGAGGGCAGCGCAGAACATGGTGGGCGACCAGCAACAGTGGCAGGGCACTGAGGGAGTGTGAGGAGGAGGAGGTAGGGAAGCCAGGAGGTGGGGAACCTGATCGCAGGCCAGGACTAAGAGCCCTACCCATGCTTAAATTTCATGCACTGGGCCTCTAGTTCTTAGTAATACCAGGTAGCAGTGAGGGATCAAAAAGGCTGCCTATTTGACTGAGAGTCCAAAATGACTACCAGGAATTAAAGCTTGCAGTCAGTCCCCAGAGACATTTCCACTAAATGGAAAAATGTACCAGGAACCATGGAAAGATTGGATAAGAAATTACCCAATTATTTTTCTAACCTCATGTGCCTTTTCCAATACTCTTTTTTACTATTATTTACAATGCTTTCTTCTGGTCTATAGAGTCTCTCAGTTTTGAAGTATATGTGAAGAACTCATTCAGTTGTGAAAACCTGTGCTTCTTACGAAGATCTAATTGGATCTTCAGCTTTCGGCTTTCAAAAAAAATGCCTTATACACTTTGTCAAATAGTTCTGGACTACAAGTAACTCTCTCATACCTCTAATGGGACATAACCTTTATAATCAACCAGAATGCTCAATAATAAGGCTAGTAAGTTTTAGCATTTAACAGAAAAATATACTTATACCTAAAGATAACTGTTCATTATTTGTCTTAATGACATTTACACTATTTAAATTCTAAGAATTGTAATATACAAATATTTAATTATGATTGACTTTTTAAAAGGCTCCAATTATTACAATGATTCAAGAGCAACAAAAAAGTAATAAAGAATAAGCACTTACTCTGTATATAAATCTTCTATCATTGCAACAATAATAACAATGAAAGACACAGCAAATATCTGACATCCAGAACCAATGAGAGAGGAAAATATCAGTGGGTGACTTGATGGTCTAAATACATCACCATGCACCTGCTTCCATCCATATTCATCTCCTAGGTCTCTATCCTAAATACATCAACATGGAGACAGAAGAGAAAAATCATTCAGAATGAAAATAAAATACAGAAAATAGGTGAAAATTATCATTAGAATTGTAAGTATCCTCTATCCAAACTTACAGCTATTTAAAGGGGTTCAAAGTATCAAGAAAAGAAATGTCAAATTTAAAATGATCACTGCCTTAATAACTTTACTGAGGCTTAAGAAGGTGCTTTTCAGTTCTGCTCTGAGAAATATCAAAGAATGAAAAAAGAAAACAGTTTACAGCAAAAAGAAATGGTGAAATTGGTAAAACAGCACACTGACTCTTAACATCACTTTCAGACACTACTCTTGCCATTTACATCATGACTGTGGCTCATATGTGACCAGGGGCCAGGTAGAAAAGAAGAGTATCAAAACCAGTATTAGATGCCCTAACAGTACAGAAATGTCCTTTATAGTCTGGAATTTAAGAAAACATATGGGGGAAATATTGTACAGTTGAATAATAATATTTTTAAATAAATGGTATTTTTAAGATATTTGGTTTTTCCTTTTATTTTTAACAATATTACAGACGTCTCCCATTTTTTCTCTTTTTGCCCACCTCTACCCAACCCCACCCCACCTCAGACCTTTCCCATGTTCTGTATCTATGAATTATGCATATATGTTCTTTGGTTAATCTCCTTTCCAACCTGAGTAAACAAGTATCTAAAACAATGTTTTTAAAGAAATATCAGCCCCTAAGGATAATCTGACTTTGTGGGGGGGAGATCCTGGTCAGATATGTTTGAGAAGCACCAAATAGTTTATCTACCTTCTGATACTTCACAATGCACATTAGCATATTAAAATGTAAATGTTTAACTGTTTCCCAACTTATTTAATGATGGACCATGCAAGAATGGGCCTTCCTTCCCGTGGCTGCCGGAACTGCCTTCACTCTGGCCAGAGCAGCCTTTTCACCTTCCCACACTGCCCAGCATGTGGCTGACCAGCCTCGGAGGGCCAGGAGAGCTGGCAGCGAAGGGCACATTAGAAAGACAGACGGGGGGCTGGGGGGGGGGGGGGGGGGGGGGCGAAAGATGGAACTCCCAGAATGCGCAAAGGCAGAAAGCTCTGAAAACTAAAAGTTTGTTTCATAAATTTGGCATATACTTATTTTAAGGCAAAAAAACTTGGACTGAACTAACAACAGGTTATTTATAATGTTTATCCCACTTGGGGTGAGAATTCATGTTTTGCTGAAAAACATTAAGATTTGATTAGAGATCCCCACTAAGAGTTTACACCTTTCTTAAACCTGAAAATTCTGAATTCTGAAACTTACCTGACCTCAAGATTGTGGACCTATGATCCAATATTCAAAACACCGTAATATTGAGTTAATTTGTTTTTATAAGTACAATATAAAATGTTTGCTCACCATATCATCCATTTCTTCTTCTTTACTGTACCGAGCATAATCTTTTCTTAAAGTTCTCATTAAAATCATTGAAACTAAGCCCACCAAGAAGATAACCATCATGAAGGAGTTGAAAATTGAAAACCAATGAATCTAAAAAGAACAGAAAATATTACTCACATAAAAATAGCAGTCACAAAATTCACTGGTCCCATGAAGACCATGGGATGCTAATGCAAAAAAATATATATATATATTTTAAAATTTTTACATAGAAATTTAAACTTCAGACATACTGGGGATGAGTATTCACTATACAACGAAATTTATTTTCTTTGCAGTAAGTTTCAGATACACTGAGAACATGATATTGTTTATAGAGATTTTCACAATCAAATTTTAGAAATAAACTATAATTTGGCTATAAAAATAGACCAGTCAGCATTACAGAGAAAGAACCTGGAGCTTTAAAGTCAAACAGGCCTGGGTAGTCCAGGCTCTGCCAATGTCTAGCTATGTGACCCCAATATCCCTATAAGTGAGGAAAATAATACTGTCTCAGCATTTGTGTTTTGTTTTTGTTTTTGTTTTAATATATTTTATTGATTTGTACAGAGAGGAAGGGAGAGAGATAGAGAGTTAGAAACATCGATGAGAGAGAGTCATCGATCAGCTGCTTCTTGCACACCCCCTACTGGGAATATGCCCGCAACCAAGGTACATGCCCTTGACCGGAATCGAACCCGGGACCCCTCAGTCCCCAAACCGACGCTCTATCCATTGAGCCAAACCGGTCTCAGCTGTCTCAACATTTGTATGGTTTAATAACATAAAAAGTACGGCACCATGTCTGGTACATAGCAGTGAATGATATATGTTATAGTTTTCGTCCCTCTAACTGAGCAACAGTCTGAAAATCTTAGAACAGCAAGATTAAACCATCATAGTTGGCAGGCGTGGATGTAGGCCACCTTCCTGAATCATCTGCTTCACTTTCAGTTTGTCCTCTCACTCTGCTGCCATCATTATTCACTCCTTTCCAAATTAGCTCTCCATAGTGCAGAGAACACTAAGGTACCCCATAGTTTCATAATGTTCCCAAGGCTCTTGACTTAGATTTCACCCACACATTTGTCACAAAATTTTGTCCACATCCTGACTCATATAATCACAAGGTACCACTATCTCTGAGTGCCTCTCGGAACTGAGTGCATCTGGCTTCCACTAGGTCTGGAGCACTGTCCAGTAATTCCTTTACATTTCAATTCCCAAAACAGAAACAGATTCAAAACCGTCTTCTCTCTTCAAGGCCCCACTTTCATTTTTTTTTCTTTTTCTTTTTGTCTTTATCCTCCTAGCCTTTTATTCCTCCTGTCAATCTCCTAGAAACTGTTTCTCCTCTTACACCACTCCTTGAGGTGTTCCCCCCTCGCTCTCATTTTGAACCCCAAAACTTATACCTTTCTTCCCACCATCAGTAATCTCCAAAGGTCCCTATCTATAATAGTACCTACTTCCTGGGATTGTTGTATGTTTTAAGCAAGATAATGAATGTAAAGCATATAGCATAGTGCCTGACATATAATAAAACAGTAAAAAAAAAATTATTATTATTATCATCTTTTCAAGTGTTTGTTGATCTTTTGTCTACTTACTGTTTCAATCTTTTTTTTACCTCCCTCCTTTCAATGCCAACACTTTTCAAATGAGGAGACTACAGGTTCTACTTCCCTCTCTTACTCCTAAACACAATGCCATCTCACTTAGTCCCACAAAATTTCTCTCAAAGATCTGCAATGAACGTCTAAGTCAATTCAGTGATTCAGTGGTCAATTAGCTGCCCCACTCTCCTTGCTCCCCTGCCATGTTTGATCTTTGCTAACACTAGGCCATCCTACTTCACTGACTGCTGCTTCTCCTCTTTCATCTCGATGCCGGCTCCTCCCACCTTTGTGAACTTTTCCAAAAGCTTCGGTCTTGGTACTCAGCAGAGATTTCCTGGGGCTCTCAGAACTTTTAACTAGAATTCCAATGATGATGGTAACACCCTCTGCCACCTACCCCACCACGCCCCAAATCTCTAGCTCTCTTTCTCCCATTCATGTTTCAGACTTTAGCTAATTCTGATCATTTCCACTTGAATGTCTTTCTGGAATTTCAGACTGCCCTAAAATAAACTATTAATCTTCTATCTCACACATAACAACTCTCTTCTGACTTCTAACTTCTACTAATGGTACTAACATTTGGCTTTGAGAATCTGAAATTATCTCTGGTTCTTACTTTTCCTTAATCTTTCCCTGGTAATAATTACCAGCCTTCCCCCTCCCACCTCACACACACACTTTTGAATGTCTCTTGTATCTAACCCTTCCTCTCCTTTCCCATGCCATCCCCTCACGCCCAAATAATTCTAATGGCCTCCTACTTGGCCTTCTTTATTTTTGGTCTCTCCCCTTCCTTTCAAACTTCTATATAAAGTTACCCAGTGGAACTTTCTGAAACATCATGTTCATATATTACTGCTCTAAAACTTATAGTGACTCTGTATTTTCTCACATATCAAATCTAATATTTCCCTAATATTCTGTACCCCTTGTAATATGGCCACCTCACTTTATTTAGCCAACCTGTCTTTCCATTGTATCCTATATTCCAATCAGGCCTATTCTTCCTCAGTGTCCCAAAAGTATAACATACTCATTTCCACCTATGTAGCCTTCTCATAATTCCTCTCACATGGGATCTACTTCTGTCCATATCTGAAAATTTTACTACTGTTTAAAGCCCAACTTAACAACTGTTTCTTCCACACAATCTTTCATTGGCATAGTCTAGTTATTCATAGACATACTCCTGCTCTAAACTTCTACAAGTATACACATAGAATTTTTAACATGAAGAATGCACTGTCTTATATAATTAGGATAGATTTTAATTTGGGGCAATAAACTCTGTATTTTCTAATTAAATATTTGAACTTCAAACCAATATCTATTATAATGTACCACTAATAACCTGACACTATATAATTCCCACTAATTCAAAAAACGATAACGTACTGTGATTTTTAAATTATTATAAGGAACATATTTCTTAAAATAATAAAGAAATCAGATGTCACAAAAGAGTGACTAACCCCACAAACTGTTGACTCCAGCACCCTCTAGTATTGCTAATCTTAAAGGTTATGAATTTTTAGGTCAGGTTGGTCATGAGTTCAGGTTGGTCATGAATTTTTGAACATTGGAGAATAGCTAACACAGCACCAGTGCTGCCTTACTGAGCTCCTGCCATGTGTCAAACACTGAACGAGGTGCTTTATAACACACTATCAAATGGAATTTCACAGCAATTATGCAAGGTATTATAATCCTAATCCTTGCTTCACTACTAAGGAGATAGAAGCTCAAGAACAGAGTACTCTGACCAAGGTTATGGTTGGTAGCAGACAGACTATATCAGCTCTAGCACCTAAACCTACACCTGTAGTCACTGTCTTAGAAACAATCCTTGCACTTATGTGATAGATCCCATCCTGCCAACTTAAGGAAAATCTGTAGTTAATTCTCCCGTTCTCCTGCAGTGTCTATTTTCCATGACACTCTACTGAACCCTATTCAACATATAAACAAGTTTTTCTTACATCTCAGAAAAAGAAAATCTCCTGACTCCATCTTTTCTACCAGCTATTGTATCATTTCTTTGCTCCTTTACCAGTCTAAACTGTACTCTGATTTTCCCTCCAAACTTGCTGTCTTCAAATCTGCTCCTCTCATTCTCTTACAATGGCTCTGTTCTGATTCTGCCCCCCCACCACACCAAAATCACTTTGTCAAGCTCACCAATGACTCTGGGTAAATCCTATAGTCATTTTTAGAACCCTTCTCACTTGACCCATCAGCAACAATTCAAAACTAATCTCTCTATCCTTCATTATACACTTTCTTCTCTTGATTTCCAGGAATACCATACAATCTTGTCCCCTCTACTTTACTGGTCTCTCTCTTTCCCCTATTCTCCCCCAACTTTTATTACAGTCCTTAGTCCTCTTCTATTTCCACATACTCTTCCCTGGTAATTGCATCCAGTCTCATAGCTTTATATATTACTAGAGGCCTGTTACACAATATTCGTGCAATAGGCCTTCTGTCCCCTGGCTTCACTCCCAGCTGCCCAGGAGCTGGCAAGTCCGTCGCAAGTCCATCCCCGACCGCCAGGGAGCTGGCAAGTCCTCACTTCTGTCCAAAGCACCACTCTTGTAGCTCCCTCCGCCACCCCACTTCCCCTGATAGCAGGTGTCCCACCCCTCTAGGCCACTCCCCACCTGCATATGCAAATTAATCTCCATCCTTGTTGGGATAATTTGCATACTCACTATAACTGGCTGTGGACATAGTGGAGTGATGGTTAATTTGCATGTTTCTCTTTCATTAGGTAAGATATGCATGCCAATGGTTACAAAATTTGTATCTCTATCCAGACCTCGCTCCTGACTGAACTTCAGATTGATATATCCAACTGGCTAGTCAGTATCTCTATTTGGATGTCTTACAGACACTGCAAAATAAACATGTCCTAAACTTATACTCTGATTTTCCCTCCAAACCTCCTCCTATCATCCTTTCCACACTGAGCTTATTAGTTATTATCTTTGAAATCCACAGCCCTAGCACAGTGCCCTACATATGGCAAATGCTCATTAATGTTTGTTAAACTGATTGGATATATTAAAATACACAATTTACCTACCCTGTGTTGAAAAAAAGATGGATCAAGATATTTGTCAAATCTATCTTCAAATTTTACTTCTGACTTTTTCCATTTTACCTGAAAAAAGTTTTCATTTGAAAATCAAGGTCATTAGACAAATTAATAATCTGATAACAAACTATGAGCAAAATTTGAAAAGATTTACACACTTAGAATAAGAAATTACAGAAATGGTAGAAAATTTCTACCAATTTCAGAAGTTGAAAGATATATGATAAACTAACCAACTTTCCTCTGTAATAATAAAATTTAAAACTTTACTTAGAAGAATCATTTCAGTTTTCAAGAATTATTAATTATTGCTGACATATATTCTGACTCAATATATGTGATAAGAACTCAATTAGACCAATTAAAATAAGAATCTGTATTGTCTTTATCTTTATATTGCAATAGTTATTATAATTATCACATTTTTTCTTTACTTCAGTTGTGCAAATATGATTTGCACTAGGTACATACAAAACTTGAAAAACTTTCAAAATTGGCTACTATCAATTGACTCATTCCAGTTACCAGAAAAAGAAAATAAAAAAAACAGGCAAAGAGAGAAGCTACCTACATCAGATTTCTCTTCTTCCCACTATTTTTAATTGTAATGGAAGAGAATAAACTTGACAGACACAAAGGACTCTGACAAGCTCTTACTCTGCAGGAACATTTTATTCCAATTGATAGAGCAAAAAATGGTAAACTATACACATCCAGTACTTTCAATACAACATCATCTCTATCTGAAACAGTAAAAGGGAAAGAAAACAAGGAACACTGCGATCTCTATTGTAACCATAAAAATACATGACTAGGTTAATTAGCTGCCCAGTAACAACAGTAAACTTTGCTATAACAAATGCATAATTGGTATCTACTTCTACAGACCTGAAGCAAATCTCCTTGCTTTTAAGAGGCTTACTTATGTACATTGAGGAAATAGTTTTAATAATATTTGTCATCCAATTTTAAGCTATATTTTCATTTACTAAAGTTGAAAAATGCAATTAATTTCTTATATTAGATCACAAATCCTTCTCCCTGTATCAAATTATTTAAATACTTACTGAATATGACATCTGGATTTTAGTATTGGGAACCAGTTTCACTTTTCCTTCACTAGTTAGATTAACATCAACAATTCGGTTACCATTAAACCCTATTTCAAGTTTTTTGTAGGTCCAAAGATAGTAATCTTCTCCATTTTCATCTGCTTCACCAACAATACCTACAAAAGAAATAACACGTTACACAAGGTAATTTCACTTAATATTTAAAATATGTTAGAATCAAAATATCATAAAATGTTTTTATGAAAAAGCAATATTACCATTATTCCTCATCGCTAGAATAAGGTAAAAGTACAGGCTTGACTTCCACTCTTTGTTAACTACTTGGCTAACACAAACCATGATCACAACATGGTTAAAAAAAAAAAAAGTTTTATATACCTATAAAAATCAGTATAACCTATCACTAATTTGATTCTTTAAGTTCATGCTTTATCATTAGTATCATCTTCATTATGATAATTATTATCTTATCTGTGTATACCCCCAAGAGTTGAAAATTTAGTCAAAATAAAATTAAAACTAAGGTATCCAGAGGCCCAATCCAGTACTTTCTCTAATAACCTATGATTTACCCATTCCAAATAAGCTGCACATATGTGTATATGAGTACCAGAACTTAAAATGCCTCCTTTTTTTATAGCTCAAGTGCGGGACTACATTAAAATGAAAGACCTGGAATCATAAAAATCTTAGAAGAAAACATAGACAGCAAAGTTTTTTTGGCATCAGTCTTAGCAATATTTTTTTGAATATATTTCCTCAGGCAAGGGCAACAAAAGAAAAAATAAACAAATAGGACTGCACCAAATTAAAAAGCTTTTGCACAGCAAAGGAAACCATCAACAAAATGAAAAGGGGAGAAAATATATGCAAATGGTTTATCCAATAAGGGGTTCAATATCCAAAGTATATAAAGAACTCATACAACCAGATATCAAAAAAAACAATCCAACTTAAAAATGGGCAGACTATAAGGTGACAGGAAAAGATTTGACTCTGGGTAGTGGGCAAGAGGTGCAGTATACAGATCTTGTGACATAGAAACCCACACCTGAAACCTGTATGTTCATGTTGACCAATGTCACCCCAATCACTTCAATAAATAAATTTAAAATTTTTCTAAATGGGCAGAAGATCTAAACAGACATTTTTCTAAAAAAGATATACAGATGACCAACAGCACATGAAAAGATGCTCAACATTACTAATCAGCTGGGAAATGCAAATCAAAACCATGATATACTACCTCACACCTATCAGACTGGCTATTATCAAAATGGCATAAAATAAGTGTTGGTTAGGATGTAAAGTAAAAGGAACCCTCAGCCACCGTTGGAGGGAATATAAACTGATGCAACCACTAGGAAGTTCATGCTGTTCCTCAAAAATTAATAAAAATAGAACTACATACAACCCAGCAATTCTACTTTGGGGTATTTATTTAAAGAAAACAAAAACACTAATTCAGCATCACCAATTCAGCACCCCTATGTTCATTACAGCATCATTTACAATAGCCAAAATATGTAAACACCCTAAGTATCCAATGATGAATGGATAAAGATGTAGTACATATATACAATGGAATACTACTCAGCCACATAAAAGAATGAAATCTTACTATTTGCAACAACATAGATGGACCTAGAGAGTATTATGCTAAATGAAGGAAGTCAGAGAAAAACAAATACTATATGACTTCATTTATATGTAATCTAAAAAACAAGACAAATGAACAAATAAAACAAAAACAGACTCAGATACATAGAACAAACGGGTGGTTGCCAGAGGGACAGGAGATAGGAACATAGGCAAAATAGATGAAAGGATTAAAGGGTATAAACTTTAGTTATAAAACAAATAAGTCACGGGAAAGAAACAAACAGCATAGAAAATATAGTCAATAATCAATATATACAAAGCCAAGAGAACGGAACAACTGGTCACTATGACGCGCACTGCAGCCAGACAACCAGCCCTGTCAGGGGCAGGGCCAGCTGTCCAACCTCCTGCGCGCCCCCACCCACCTGCTGGCCTGGCCCCAATTGGCCCTGATCAGGGAAGGCCAGCTGGACCCCACCTGGGCACGAATTCAAGCACCGGACCTCTAGTATTGTAATAACTCTATATGGTGACAAAAGATAACTAGACCTACCTATCATGGAGATCACTGAATAATGTATATAAATAGTGAATTGCTATGTTATACACCAGAAATGAATATCATAAGTCAATTATACTTCAACCAGTGCCCCGGGGTGCATGGATTCATGCACATGGAAAGGAAATTAATTATAAGGTGGCCAATGAGGCAGGGCTGGGTTTGCTGCTCATGAAGATAGTAGTCTGCTAACAATTTTAAAAAGCAGAGTATTATTTTACATAAGAACAGGTGTCCCAATTCTACCACCACCACCACCACCACCCAAAAAAGGCTAACAGAAAAACCAGTAACAAAAAAAAAAAAAAAAAAAAAAAAAAAAAAAAAAAATGTAACCAAACATGCTAGCTATGATAGCTGGCTATGCTTTGCAGTTTAAATAACTTAACAAGTCTAACACAAACAATGTTTGGATTATGTTTGGATTATATCCATTAATAGGGATAAACAAAGTAAACAAAAAAATTAAATATAAAAAAAGCTAAAAAAAACAAACCATTTTAAACATATAGAGTTTTGTAAAGTAGCACAGGAACTAGCAAAACAAGTCATTCAGGAACCTATCATATCTAAAATCCATACTACCATGTTCCACATGAGACAAAATCAGAATAAGATTTCAAAGTCCTATTTAGTTCCTTTGATTGCACTTGACAGAGCAAGTCAAAATTAGATATGAGAAAAATGGGGGGAGGGAAAATATTTTGGATTGTTCAAAGCAACTTTTAATCCCTTGAATATGAAAAGTTATACTGTATAAAAATTATATATTGAGGGAGTTTCACTTAAGGTTTGGCAATGTCAAAAACCTTTCAAGTAACAGGGGATCATAAAATTGCTATTAAAATTATTCTATGAAAAATAGTGAAAACACATTTACTGATTTGTATATAATCACCTTAACAGAGTCATTACATAAATCTTGTTTATTATGCAAATGTTCCTAAACTTTACATGTAACATACAATACTCACCCCATATTGGTAAGTCATCTATGTACATCTGGTACCAGTAGTGATTTTTGATAGCATACACAAATGCATCTCTCTTTTCCTTATCTAAGTCAATTTCACAGTAAGTGGCTGGCATCACATCATCTGCATAAAGTAAAAATTGCAAATTAACACATTGGTTTGCAAAATAGTTACAGAAAAAAATAACAGAAGAAAAAAATTCAACTGGAGGTGCAGTGCTGACCAGACTTCAAGGAATCCCCAACTCACAGGGAATAACACCTGGCCAGTTCTTGTTCTTTTCATCTAAAAGTGCTTACTCTGAAGGGAAAATAAACCCCACTGTGATAGCCCATGAAAACTGACCCCCTCTACCCAAAGAAAGAAGAAAGGCTAAGACGGCTGAATGGGTCTCTTCTTCAGTGAATAAGGGTAAGGATTTCAAAAAGTGATGAAATCTGTCCATTGTAACAAAGTAGGATTCAGGGTTTTTGTCTATTTCTTCTCTCTAATTCCTTTTTAATACATTTGAAATGTGCACCAAATGGAGAAAGTATGTAAATAAATGGTTCTGAGTTTCTCGAAGATCACACATTCTAGTCTATTTTCTCCTTACACAAGCCTCAGGGCAAGTTCACCATAATCCATAAAGCTATAGGTTAGGTGGCTGTGGTTTAAATTTATAACTTAATTTTATAATTAAGCCCCAAGGAACATAATGAAGAAAAAGGATGCAAATATGTATACCTATTTTCAACAACAAAACAATATTCTAAAAATAAAACTCAACAAATCAAAAATAAATATTATCTTTAAAATCTCAATTCACATCCTCTTCCCAAAAGTGCTAAAAGTAACAGGAGTCAGTTACTGTTCATTTTACACATGTAGGCAATGAAGTCAAATTGAAGTAAACAATATTACTGAAACCAATACAATAAAAGAAATAGGATTAAAATTAAAAGATACTGATTACAAGATCCATGCTCTATTCAAAAATCAAAACACCTAATCAAAGATCCTGCAAAAATTCAACTTTTCAAGCTTCTGCTTACTAAATTACAAATGGCTATCGGAAAATACCTCTCTGATAAACTTCACAGAGGAAAATAAAAGTATAAACACACTGAAAAGACCTGATAAAATAGATACTTGAAATATAAATGAGGATCTTTTCTAATTTTAACATGTTTTTTACTTCAAATTTAAAATCGCACTATCCTATAAGTATTGAGAGTATAAATTAATACAGCACTTTTAAATACATTCTAAGCCAATGGTATTAGTTTGAAACTAAGGATTTACACAAAATATTTAAGTATCCAGCAGGGACCGGTTTGGCTCAATGGATAGAGCCTCGGCTTGGGGACTGAAGGGTCCCGGGTTTGATTCCGGTCAAGGGCATGTACCTTGGTTGCGGGCATATCCCCAGTAGGGGGTGTGCAAGAGGCAGCTGATCGATGACTCTCTCTCATCAATGTTTCTAACTCTCTATCTCTCTCCCTTCCTCTCTGTATAAAATCAATAAAATATATTTTAAAAAAATATTTAAGTATCCATACACCCCTTTACATTCCCGCACCTCAGAAATTACTCCATTATGAATCTATGAAGGTTTCCCCCAACCACGTATGTCTAATTAGTCACTAGAGGGTTTACTAGAAAACACTTTTAAGAAATATGCTAGGAAAATATAATTTTATTAACAATGGTTTATTTTACTTTATAACATTCAAAATAAATCTTTGTTATAGATGGGGGGTTTATGAGGGGAAAGGGGACATCAATTTCCAACAATATATTTACAAGTAAATAAATTAATCTTTGTTCCTAAATGCAATACACTTAAGCTATAGGTTAAAACATTTCTTAAGAGTCTAGAACAGTGGTACTCAACTAAGAACTATTAGCAACATCTGAAGACTTTTTGGTGGTCACAACTGGATAGTTCTACTGGCATCTAGTGGGTAAAGAAGCAAGAGATACTTCTACAATGTACAGGTCAGCCTCACCCCCATAAATAAGTATCCAGCCGAAACGTCAATAGTTCCAAAGCTGAGAAACCCTGGTCTATAATATAACTTTTATTAGAAGGACTATTAAGATTTACTTACCTTTGAATTTAATATCCAGACCACTAAATTCCAATTCAACGCCTTGAAGTGCTTCTCCCAGAGTTTCATGGTAATGACTGATACTTCTTTTTGACCCCACACAAAATGGAAGTGAAAAGTATTTGTAAGTCTCTTGTCGATTATGGTAGGGCCCAACAGTATTCATCCATAAAACAACTTCCTCTTTATCTTGATACTGAAATTAAAAAAAGCAAAACAAATTCTTTTAAAAATACATTTATCCCTAGCCAGTCTGGCTCAGTGGATAGAGCACTGTTGGCCCTCAGACTTCAGGGTCCCAGGTTTGACTCCAGTCAAGGGCATAAATCTTGGTTGTAGGCTCAATCACCGGCCCAGTCGGGGCACATGCAGAAGGCAACCAATTGATATGTTTCTCTCACATAGATGTTTCTCTCCCTCCATCTCTTCCCCTCCCCTTCACTCTAAGAATCAATGGAAAAATATCCTCGAGTGAGGACTAATAAACCACCCCCCCCCCAAAAAAATAGTGTGTGTATGTGTATATAAAATTAAGGGATTATTTGGTGTTTGTTCTAAACAAAAGTATACTGTCTCAGTTTGGGAAGCTATAAAATAAAATACTGGAAGTTTATTTTAATCTGATGATTAATGTCCACACCTTAAAAATGAAAATTTACTGACTTTTAAAATTATATTCTTTGATTGTGGTCTCAGGCAGATCCATTTTTCTTAAATTTTGTTTTACAGATGGTATTGTTTAAGCAGAGCCCAATAACTCATATGAATATTTATAATTATACTATCAAATAATGGCAAACCAAGAAGGAGGAGACAAAATCAATAACCTCATGTTAATCATTAGAAACTCCAAAAATCTGTTGCCAGCAAGCACAAATAAAATTTCATCTCCTTTCTAATCTTTTCCATGCCATTAGTCAAAGAACTAGAGGAGAGAAATGATTATACAAGAGAAAAACTATGAAATCGCCATCTACTCAAACCATCTTTCTACCTTCCCCTTTATTAGTCTGAAAGACATGTATCATATTTATATTTCTTTGAATAAGTAATTACAGTTGTTCCCATCAGTGAATACCACACTGGAGTGTGGTCCAAATAACTTGGGTAGATGACTTCACTTTTCCAGGGTCCAATTGAGGGATTTGCCAAAGATTTCTAATTTCTCAAGTCTAAATGTCCAATGATTCTATAAAAAGCAATTATCCAAGTAATTTAAAAACTAGTAACCCTAATTAGCAATATAAAGTCAACACAGTATACAAATTAAGTCAACTAATAGTACAGAAGTTAAATCACTGAATAATTATATATTATGTGCCTACCATGTGCCAAACAGTAACCGTGTTTATAAGTGAGGATACAACATTGAACAAGACATGTTCCCAGCCCTAATGGAGCTTAGAGCCTAAAGGGAAAGATAGACATTGAATAAGGAATGGCAATCAAGTAGGGTGCTATGAAGAAGCACGTAACACAGGAAGCTCTCTAACTAGCCCAACTACCCAATCCCTAGCTCCAATCCTCCATCTAAAACTAATAAACATTTTTAATCAAAACCCAACATCTTTAAAACCAAACTCATCCCATCCAAATCCACCCCCTCTCCAACTTTGTTTTCCTAATGGTACCACCATTCTCTCAGACATGGTGTTCAAACATTAAGTTCCTCTGCATTTCAAAAAACAATGACTTGAGGATTCTTATCTAAAGCATCTGACTTTCCTTTTGATTCAATGCACCACCATCCTAGAACTGAGGCCTAATTACCTATCTTCAAACATAATAAATGTCTCATTGTTCATACAACATGTCATCCGGGTCAACAAGGAAATAATGAACTATCTCACTTTTGGGCTACATAACACATGTACTAAGCAGTGTTAGGTGTTAAGGATGTACAGATAAGTAAAATACTGTCCTTTCCTTTATGGAAGTTTACAATCCATAGAAAAGGCAGACAAATAAATGATTAACAATGAAGATATGTTACAATTAAGGTAATAATGGGCTATTATAGCAACAATAAAGGAATGGTTAATTCTGCTTTGACAGAGAAGGGTCAGCATAAACAGCAGTATAGAACAGCAGTAGCCAATCGGTAGTCCATGAGGTACGAAAGGTTGGCAACCACTGGTACAAAAAATCATAAACTATTTCAAGTGAATTCAGAAAAACAGCTGCTAATCTTCATTATGAAGGAATGAATCCATACAATGCCATTCAGTTCCATCCAATGCTTATGGTCACACAGCACTGAACAATCAAGGTAGTAATCCTTTCTGCTAAACAATATGGATACAGTAAAAGAATTCTCAAACCAATACTCTAAACCCGTGGTAGGCAAACTGTGGCTCGTGGTATTCCACAAAATACCACGGCCTGGGAGAGTCTATTTTGAAGAAGTGGCGTTAGAAGAAGTTTCAATTTAAAAAATTTGGCTCTCAAAAGAAATTTCAATTGTTGTGCTGTTGATAATTGGCTCTGTTGACTAATGAGTTTGCTCTAAACCAAGCACTATCAACTGACTGAGTTGGTATTAGAATGGAAAACTGTTCAGTAGGCAGGAAGCTCTCTCCATAACATAATGTATACAAAAAGTATTTAATAAATATGATGAAAAGAACACTGGAAAAGATGCTGAAATGTAAAAGTTCCTTAGCAGCTGAGTAAAAGAAGTCTAAAGTATGTGCACTAACTGCAAAAAGTACCCTTTTAGAGAAATAAGAAAGGGGAGCAAAATGCATCGATTTAGGATGCTGAATGAGAGGACCTATTAATGAGGACCTTGCCATTAATCCTGCTGAAAGTCTGCAAAAATATTTAAATGTAACTCAGAAAAAATAAGCACAAAAACACTTTCCCTATAAATCGTAATATCCATATTCCTTTAAAAAGACAAAAATTTGAACAGTAAGTATTGCTAAAATAGGGCGTTTATTTTATACAAACTGAAACACAGAACTAAAATAATTTAAGGATCACAATGTGTGTTAAACTACATATTCTGAAATCACTCATTTTAAACATTCATGAAACCCATTAAGAGAATAGAGTTTTAATGACATGATTCAAACGGTAAGAAAATATATACCATTTTGTAGTCTAAAATTCCTTCTGAGAAGATGACTGAAAATAATAATTTAAAAAATATAAATACTAGAGGCCTGGTGCACAGATTCGTGCACCAATGAGATCCCTTGGCCTGGCCTGCAGAGACTACACTGAAACAGGCTCCCCAACATTCCAAGTGGTCCTGAATTGCAAGAGGGTGGTTCTCGGGTGACACATCCCAGAATCAGGGTCCCTCTTCTTGGTTCCAGGAGCGTCACCCAAGAACCACAGCTGCCAAGTCACCGCAGCAGCTCCTGCACTGAGCGTCTGTCCCCTGCTGGTCAGTGCAGCACAGCTACTGGTCAGACCGTCTGCCCCCTGGTGGTCATTGCGTGTCAAACCTACTGGTTGGACAGTTGCTTAGGCTTTAATATACCCCAATATATAGATTGTATATGTACAGTATATGTATATGTATATGTATATGTAATATTTTCAGTCACATATATATATAATACTTTTATATACACACATGTATTCACACATAACCATACAAAGGTTAGGGTGAATATTAAAGCAAAAATGTTTCTTCTACATTGCTCCTTATGCAGACCATGATCAGATATGAACTTAAAATATTTACTTTTCATTGCAGTTCTTGATGGTCCCTAAGAATAAGCAATCCCAAGACAAGATAAAAACACGTTATTTTTCAAGAGATAAAATGTGTTTTAAAAACTTGAAATTAGAAAATACCAAAAGGAAGACTTCACAGAACTTTTGAAGGAGAAAAAACTGCTGAGAAAGTCCTTGAGTTCCCCAGTTCCAGGGGAAGAAAGCCACAGGTAAGGAAGGCTCTTCCTCCTCCTATGGAGAGTAACCAGGAGACAGGGAGAGGAAAAGTCAAGGAAGCACAGCAGTGGATCAGGGGATCCTAATTGTGGCTGTAATCCTTCTACGAGGCCTCCCTCAGTAGTAGTCAGTAGCCAGCTCAGACTACCTGCATTCTCCACCTCACCATTCTGTTCATTGTCCAGCTCTCAGAAGACTTTCACTGTTACACATTCAACTCTGAGCTGTCCCACTCTGGCCAAATGATCTCTGATACTGTCTTCCCTTCCTTTCCTGCTCCACCTTTTCCTTATGTCATTTCACCCAATCCTCCTCTCCACCTACCCAATTTATACTTACCCTTCAGAACTGCTCAAATCTTTCTCAAATCCTCGGGTAAGGCCTTAACAGACCAATCCCTAACTTGCAATATCTCACCATCTTTTCTAATAGTATCATTAGCTAACACTTAATAAGCACATACCATGTGCTAGGCATAGCTCTAAGGTTTTTACATAAACATTTAATCCTCTCAAAAGTTTAAGATAGGTCGTCTTATTTCCCCCATTTTACAGATGAAAACAAACCAAAGAACATGGGTATTAAGTAATTTGTCCAAGATCATATAACTAGTACCCAAGTTTACAACATTAGGACTACACTTTTACTAATCCCTAGTCAGACTCATTAACTAAAGAGCAAAACTAAATGAATAGGAAAAAAAGCAAAGTTATTCAAAGCAACTAAAGACAGTAATGAATAGTAAACAACTTTTCCATATGAGCCTTTAATTTGCCCTAAAGGAAAAAGAAAAAAAAACCTTCCTAAGAAACTACCTTGAGATTTTGCTCTAATCTTAAGTCACCAATGCTGGGCCTCTCTTATTTAAATACTGTTTATGTGTTGGAAAAGAAAGTTTCCCTATTTGATAGAGATCATGAATTAATTTTTCTCAGAAAGAACACTTTAAGGAAATAATGCTTCTGATGTACTTACATAAAATCTGAATAAAGCAATCAGAATTTATATAGACAGGCAAAGAACTGAGGGTTCAGAATAAGCACCTAAATGCCATCATTTTCATGGGATGAGTGCTTTTTAAAGATCTGAAGAAGCAAAATCCAGTTCAGAAGTGTTTCACAAATCCTAAGTTCAATACCTTTTCATTATTTATGTAAAACAGATACATCAGAATTCAAATACAAGTAAATCAGAAGGGGTATTTTTAGAAAGTCTCTTGAGATAACCTCTCTCTTCCCCTCCCCCTCGCCTCTCTAATAGCTTTGTACCCAAATAAACTTTTAGTCTATCACAGAGTACAGCTGAAAATAGGACAATGAATTATAGCATTTCCTAAAATTAGATCGATATTTGAGCACTCACAAATTCACTTGTAACAAACAGTTTCTTCTCTTTATAAATCTTCACATATGTTTTAGGAGTTCCTATGCCCCCAACAGTGACAAAAACAAAAGGCTGCCATTTGCCAAAGTAAAGCAAACTTTCTGAAAACACTGAACGGTCTAGTGTTTACAGCAGAAGCAAGAATAAGCTATCCTAGACACAGATCCCAACCTTACCTACAGAAGTGCAGTGAGCCACAAAGAAGTGAGAGTTAAGCCTAGGTAAGGCCCCTAAAGCACAACAGACATCCTTGAGACTAGAGTCTTAGGTGAATAATGGTCTGGGTTTGTTCACTGGGCTTTGAGCAACAGGGTTTCATGCTTCCAACATTGCATGTTCTTGTCCCTAGCAACTCCCTAATTACTCAGGTCACTCAACAAGGCCTAATTAAATACTATTTCTTGTGCCAAGCACAGAGCCTCAATATGTAGCTGACAAAAATTTTAAAAATTGACTTTATGGTCTTAAGAAAACAGAACCCATAAAAATTCAAGGCTACAGTACAAATTATAAAATGCATTAAAATTCTTGTGCCCTTGATTATTGTGTTTTGGGTGGGGTTTTTTTGTGAGGTTTTTTTGTTTTGTTTTGTTTTGTTTTTTTGGTGCTTACATCTTTGCATAGTAACAATATGGAAATTGTATGGACAAGACAGTAGATAAAGCAGGGACCAGAGAGATCAGGAAGCTCAGATTCTTTCTGTGGCCTTGGGCCAGTCACTAGGTCTCTTTAAGCCTTCAGGAAAAAAATAGTGTGTTGGATACAATGGCCTCAAGTCTTTCAGTTCTAAAATTCTATGACTGCCAGTTTGAAAACTTTTAAATGGCATCTTCTGGAATCTTATGAGACATAGTAATCTAACTGTAGATACTTCCAAATGCCCTGAGTTTCAGAAAGCCAAAAAAGCATAAGCCACATGCTATGTATCTTTCACTCATTCTAAAGTAGGGGTGTCGAACTCAATCAGAGAAGGGGCCAAAATCTAAAATCCAGCCTAAATCGAGGGCCGAATGGTTTACTGAATAGTCATAAACTGTCATTGTGATGGAAACGCAGCGGAGTGCAGTGATGACAGCGCGGTGCGGGCCATATTGCAAGGCCTGGCGGGACGGATTTGGCCCGCGGGCCTTGTGTTTGACACATGTGTTCTAAAGAGTCCTTTTTTTTTTTTTTTTTTTTTGACCCTTCAGTCACATATTAAGAGCCTATCTTTAATTTTTTTTCCCAAACAATGTCCGGTAATTCATGTGATTCAACTTTTAAAAACTGAAGGGAACACATCTTTATAAATTCTAGATGTAGGTATACTCTAGAAGTCAACAAAATAAAAATGCAGAACTCCTTGCTCAAAAATTAAGAATTCCAAGGTGGTGACTGCAGAGCATTAAACCAGGCAGTCCTTATGTGTCTGCACATATAACGTGACTGCCCAGGTCACATGACCATAAGTCAGTCCTAAACCTCTTTAACACAAACATTTCCTCAGCAACAACCCATTATGTAACTAGAATTATCCAAATATTTCTGTATTTAAAAATACTATCAATATAGGGAACTATTCAATTTAATGACAAGTATTTTACTGCCCTATTTTTAGCTTAAAGGGCTATAGAAGCATATCTTATGAGTATAGAAAACTATTAATTCAAATTGCCTTAATTCAAATCCTCTATCCCTACTGGCTGTGTGGCCTTGAGCAAGTAACTTAACCTCTCTGGCACTGGTTTCCTCATCTATTAAAAGAGCATAATATATTTCATTTCACAAGGTTATTAATGTTTACAATGAGTTCATATATGTAAAGTACTTAGAACAAAGACTAGCACATATTGCTAGAAAAATCCTTTTAGTTATTATTTCTAACTAGAAACTGTCTTCACAGAAAGTTAATCTAAAGGATAAGCTTAGCCCAGCCAGCATGGCTCCGTGGCTGAGTGGTCAACCTATGAACCAGGAGGTCCTGGTTCAATTCCCAGGGCACATGGCCGGATCCCCTGTGTGGGACATGCAGGAGGCAGCCTATCAATGATTCTCTCATCATGATTGTTTCTCTCTCTCCCTCTCCCTTCCTCTCTAAAATCAATTTTAAAAAAATTTTTAAATAAAGGGTAAACTTAAAAACTTTTGAAAACTGTTCTTTAGTAATTCAATTCCACAAATACTTAATAAGCATCTACTCAGCAACAACCTTCCCTTAGCAATTTTTCTCCTCTTTCAGTATCATTCTTTCTTCACAGGCTACTTCTGACCTTCCTGGTATGAAAAAAATTCATTTAATCATAGTCTTTTCAGTACCATTATCTGGCAAAGGTAAATGCCTAGCTTTATAAAAATATTTTCAAAAAATTTTAAAGTAGTAAAATAATTTGGCTAACAGTAAAAAGTATATGAATGACACTTAAGTTTTATCTTCATGGCAATGCTATTCTTCCTATAACTTTTTTTTTTTGCTTTCTTAATAGTTATTAATAGGTAGCTGAATCAGAACAATCTAAAGTAGACATGGATTCCAAATTTTTGTGCAATTATCTCATACACATATTCTCTCAAAAACCACTTATCAAATACTGTATATGACAATTACTGATTCAGAAATTTAAAATGTTCCTGGCAAAAAAATTCAGTGAAATTAGTATTTGCATTTTAAATATGTAAATTAATCTAAGACCATTTTATAAACCTCCAAAGTTTGAAATTTTAATGAATAGTTTTTCCCATTTATAGCAATGCATTATAAAACATACGATTAAAAAAGCATCCTACTACTCTTAGCTTATATGCCTGTATGGTGGAACTACAGTTAAGAGAGAATTCTGAGTTTCACATGGTAACTTTCTTTAGTTAAGTGTTCAAAAAACTGGAAAAATATAAGAAACCATATCATTAAGTAAAAGGATGGCCATTGGAAATGAGGTTATTATACTTTGAGACAAGTTACCTTACAGAACGACAGTCAATAATTTTTAATGTAACTATTTAACCTCCGAACAAAATTATGGCAAGGCGAAAAGTCACAAATATAGTACAAAAAACATGTCACCGATGTGGGATTTGTCTCTTAAAAAACACACACACACACAGGTAAGAAGTTTCCGGCTGTGATTGAGGGTAAAGTAGCCAAAAGTTTAGAGGTAAAACAAGAGCCTAGCTCACCCAGGGAGTGAAGAAAAGAAGTCTAATCAATTACGAACATCATCTAAAGCAGGCTACATTGACGATTGCTTCATTTCCTTACTTAATCAGGAATGACAGAAGACTCCGCCAAATCTCTCCGAGTACATCCATTATCTTTCATGCAAATCATATCACGAATGAATTAAAGTATAAAAAAATATTACTCGCCAAGGAAATCTGTCAATTTCCTATTACTTTCCTGCCTTGCTCTACCATCCTAAAAAACCTCAGTTACTTGAATAATCATTAAGATCCATGACAACTGAACAGCCAAGGAACTTGAGGATAAATGCAGAAAGGATTGCTCCAGGCAGACCAGACGGGGACACTGAGGACCCCTTACAGTCAGAGGCTGCCCTATCAGAGACCACTGGGACCGGAGCCTCCTCCAGGGGCCTGAGAGGGTAAGGAGTTAAGTTACAAGAAAAGGCTCGGAAGTGAGTGCGTGTGGGCTTGAGTGCCTGCACACGTGCAAACTGCTCTTCACCCCAAGTTTATCGATGCTGTCACCCCGCCGGCCTCTGGGTCCGGTGTGGACAGGAGGGACAATGAGGGCCGGCGAGGACCGCGCAGGGGTGGCTATTTCCTGGTTGGGGATGCCGGGTAATCGCATCCATCTTCCGCTGTCCGCTGAGTCGCGGCCCCCAGGAGCAAGAGCACAGCTCCCAGCCCAGGGGCCACTCGCCCCGACCGGGCCTGCCTGCGACCCCCATCCCGCGGCCAAGAGACCCGGGACCCTCACCCCGCTCCTTCCCCGGCCTCCGGCGCCCCAGACCCGGGGGTGGGGCGCCATCTAGGTCCGGGTCGGAGACGGAGGCCCAGGCGGAGGAAGAGTCCCTCCGTCCCGGGAGCGCCAGGAAAGGCCTCCTCCTCCCAGCAGCTCCCGGGCTCCTGCTCCGCCAGGCCCAACCGGAAGGCGGCCTCAGCCGGCCGCCGCGGGCTCCCCCGGGCCGCCGGGCTTTGCCAGGCCGCGCAGGGCCCGCCGGGGCAGCGAGGCGGGGAGCAGGCCGGGCGCGGCCGCCGCATCGTCCGCCGGGCGCGCCTCTCACCGTGTGCTCGTGCTCGTCCGCCCGGGCCCGGGGCAGCAGCAGCAGCAGCAGCCACAGCGCGGCGGCCGCCGCCACGCCGGGAGCGCCCGGCAGCGGCCTCATCGTCCGCGCTCCCACCGGCCCGGCGCCCGCCCGCCGACTCCTCCTCCGCCGCCGCCGCCGCCGCCGCCTCAGCCGATTCGCATCCACCGGGCGCGGACAGACGCAGCGCGGGGGCCCGGACTCCGCCGCTGGCTCCTCGGCGCCGCCGCCGACACCGCCCGCTCCGGAGCTTCCCCCGCCCCCCGGCGCCTCGGCCGCCTCTTCCTCTGACTCAGCCACGTCATCCGGCCACCCCGGCACACGCCGGAAGTGCCGTGCGACGCGGGCGCAACCGCCGCCGGCCGGCCGCCCCGCCCTGGGTCCCGGAGGCCCGGCGCGCGGACGGCCCGGCCCGAACCTCTCGGGGCCGAAGCCGCCTCGGGCCGCGTCCCGGCGGCGGCGGATTTCGGAGGCGGATTTCGGAGTCGTGCGTCCTGGGCCGGAACCACCACCTTCCCGCCTCCCTCTCCGAGGCCGTGAGATGGGGTCTCCCCGGCCGCCCCTGGAGCGGGGGCGATCGGAGCAAATAGCCCTTTGCATAAGGTGACCGACCGGGCGTCCCGCTTTTGGCGGGACAGTCCCCGATGTCTAACCATTGGTCCCGCGTCCCTTTAAAAAAAAGTCCCGATTTTTCTTAAGACTTTTTTTTTAAAGGGACGCGGGATCAATGGTTAGACATTGGGACGTCTTGCCGAAACCGGTTTGGCTCAATGGATAGAGCATCGGTCTGTGGTCTGAAAGGTCCCAGGTTCGATTCCGGTCAAGGGCATGTAACGTTGATTGCGGGCACATCCCCGGTAGGGCTGTGCAGGAGGCAGCTGATCGGTGATTCTCTCTCATAAATATTTCTAACTCTCTATCCCTCTCTCTTCCTCTCTGTAAAAATCAATAAAATATATTTTTTTTTAAAAAGAAAGAAAGAAATCAGGATGTCTGGTCACCTTACCTTTACAGGCACAGCCGCTGTGCGCGAATCATAAGGTCACGAAATCATCGTGATGGGAGCTTGTTATGTTTATACCGGGTTGAAGGAGGGTTTTAAAACCTCCGACGCGTTATGAGGCCCCTGCTATTGGGTCTTGTTGACATTCTTGTTCATTGATGTATTATTTGTGGGTCTCCAGTCCATTGACATAAATGCCCCCCCCCCCCCCCAGGAATCTAAGCACCTCCCCCTAAGCAGGCATCCCGTCTGCCTGGAACAGTACCAGTCTCAGCGTAGGAACTCCAAAAACAACTGTCAAATAAGCATGACTATGGCACCCCCACACCCCATCCTCTAAGCCAAAAATCTGGAACTTGTAGTCGGGTTGTCTGTAACCTCTCAGCCGTCAGCAGTCAACAGTTCCAGCACTATTTCTCTTAGAAATGTCTCAAAGAGTTTTTGTTTTTCCTCTCTTTCCTCTGCCAGGAACAGCCAACGGTGTCCAGCAGGATCCCTGCCACCAGACTTCCCTCCCTGTTTATTCTCTCCAACAGGTGCCAGAGTGACCTTTCTAAAAAAGAGACCTGATGATACCGCTGTCTGGCTTAAAACACTCATTGAATGGTGTTTAAATAACTCATGGAATCCCAGCTAAGATTTTCATCTTCCAGGCACTATTCTGAGCCCATTCTATGGACTGACTCATTTCATGCTCACAAAAAAAGAAAACTTTATGCAACAGGTGTTATCAGTAGGTTCACTGTACAGATACCTGAAGGAGCACAGAGAGGTAAGTGACTTGCTGAAAGGCCAAACCCAAGCAGTCTGGTTCCAGAACCTGTCTTTCTTACTACTAATAGATTACCATTCATGCCGCCATTTAAAAAAAAGGAAATAGCCCCGTGTGTCCTGGCATGGAATGATATCAGAGAGATACTTTTAAATGAAAGAAGTTGAAAACATAGAGCATAATTCCATTTTAAATGGTAACCTATTAGTCTACCCATAGAAAACAACCTGAAAGATTATGACACAACCATTAAGATATTTTACTTGCTGAAACCGGTTTGGCTCAGTGGGTAGAGCGTCTATCTGTGGACTGAAGGGTCCCAGGTTCGATTCCCGTCAAGGGCATATACATTGGTTGCGGACACATCCCCAGTGGGGGGGGGTGTAGGAGGCAGCTGGTCGATCTCTATCCCTCTCCCTCTCTAAAAAATCAAATATATATATATTTTTAAAAAGACATTTAACTCTGCCTATAAATATTCGGTTGTTTTTTTTACAATGAGCAAACGTAATGTGAAGAAAAAAAAATCTTTGCTAAAGGACGGTCCTGTTAGCATTGCAGCTGCACAATCAGATCCTGGCTTATCTCCTCAGCTTTACATCCCACTGGTCTGCACCCTTTATTCCCCAAATACACCACCTTCTTTTCTGTCTCTGTGTCTTGGTGCTTGATGTTCCTTCCGCCTGGGATGCAAGTAAATGGACAGCCGCTGGCTGGTCTCTTTCCAGGCCTGACTGAACTATCACCTCTTCAGGGAAGCCTTGCATCAGGAAGTTGAGCCTCTCTTCTTCCGGATCCCAATCACATTTGGCATGTTATATGATACTTACCATCTAAGTCCCATTTCCTCTTCTCGAGTACAACTTGACCTTTTTTGAGGACAAATACTACCAATTGTTTTTTCTTTATATCTGTCCCAACTGCAGGAATAGTGCTTGTCACATCACAGACATTCAGTAACTATTTCAAGACTGAACGAGTGAAGGCGTTAGTAAGTGGAAGTCAAATAGCATAGCATAACTTAAAGAACACTTTCTAGCTAGTCTAAGAGATATTACAAGGCAGTACGTGATTAATTGCTGAGTGAATCATATACCAGTAATTGCTATAGAAATCAGAGGAGGTGTCTTATACATCTCTGTCTATTCCCCAGAGCACCTCACGTGGTGACTCGCTCACGGTGGAAGTTCAGTAAATGCTCTGTGAATGAATAATCACTGCTTTTGAATCGAGCAATGATGGGCAATTGAAGAACAAGTGTTGTAAGTGCTGAATTAAGATGGATGAATAGTTTCTTGCTTAAACAGCCATCACCAGCCCCACATATTTGAGTCTGTAAGCTTTTGCTGTGTGTGGGGAGCACTGGATTGGTAATTGTTTGGGGATGGGGAGGACACAAGGAAAGGTATATTCATGTGGCGAGTGCTGACTTAAAACCAGGAAACATTACATATACAACAGAGAATGGCATAACAGTGTACAAAAAAAAAAAGAACTACACAAAATGTGACCAACTGTGCACATGTTCCACAGGCAAAGGAGTGATGGGCAAGGAGAGAAGAGGAAACCCTGTTTGAGTGGAGTATTTGGGAAAATATAATGGTGGGAAGAGCATGTAGGGCCATTAATTAAACAACTGTTTATTGAGCATCACTATGTGCCAGAACTTTGGTAGGCACTAGAAAATACATAAATGGCTTTAGGTGATAAAAGTTTGATAGCAGATATGGGGGAAAAGGAATAGATACGTAACTGATTAAAGGGAAAGGAGTGTGGCTTCAAAGATCCTTGGAATCTGATGACCTCAGGCTCAGAAGCAGAACTCGGGGAAAATCATCAGATTCAGGGCTGTACTGTCACACTGGGGAGTGGAAAATATTGACATATCTTATTTTCCCGGTTTCTTCATCTAGATGAATGACCTCATTCCCCTAATACCAATAAGAAGGAAGTGGGGCGGGAAATGCCATTGAATAGAACTCTCCTCCTCCAGCTGTATAGCCTCTCCGTATGGTGGTTCTAATAATATTCAATTGGTTATAGAGTCTATGGCCTGTAAATGATCCAGAAAAACTGCAATTTCAATCTTTTTTTAAAGATTTTTATTGATTTTTACAGAGAGAAGGGAGAGGGGAGGGAAAGAACCATTGATGCAAGAGTGACACATCCATTGGCTGCCTCCCACCAGGAATTGCGCCTACAACCAGGGCATGCTCCCCAACTGACTGGGAATCAAACCAGCAACCCCTGGGTGCCCAGGACAACGCCCAACCAACTGACTGAGCCACACCACCAGTCAGGGTCACAATTTCTATTCTTCATTCTCATTCTTAATAAACGATCACCCAAAATCTCGGTCTACAGATGACTACACGTCCTCTGATTTCCACCCTCAGCTACCTTTTCTTGGAAATTCCATTCCTTCTTTCTACTTTGTTTACCTTTCTAGTTATTCTGGGGTGAGCAGTCCTTCTATTGCTGTTACCACCTTTCACCTCTACCTTTTCTGTTCTAGCTGAAAATGTTCCAGGTACTAAAAAACTTTAACATTGGCCTGATTTCTTTTCTTTAGGGAGAAATCACTTAAAAACATTTGGTTTTTAGATTGAAGAGCAATTATGGCTGTTAATTTCTTTGTTCAGTTTCCATTTCACTGTTTCTCACACATTTAAAAAAAAAAACTGATCTGGTACAACAATGGTAGAGGGCAAGAAACAGCAGCTGCCACCTAATAAGACCCTTTGGCAATTAGGTGGTGACTCCAGTAAGGTGCCACCCTGCTTCTTCAGGATGAGGAATTCCCCCGCTCCTTGCCTTCAACGTGGACTAAGAGAGTTGAAAGGACCTGGAGTTATCACCCAAAACTCTTCATGGAGATGAAGCAGACCAGGGTAGTCAAGTTATGTGACCTCCAGGTTTCCTGACTTCCAAGCCAATGTTCTCTCTCTAGATCACGCTAACTCTACCTGCATGCATAGCTAGCTAACACAGGTATTTCATGGGTTAAATGGGCTTTGGCGGGCTAGCCTGGGAACCTACTGTTTATTACAGTTTCTGTGAGAAAACAAATTCTGAGTTGTGCCTGAGAATTCAGAACATATTTTCAACCTCCCACTCTTCTTTCCACCACCCTGGTGAACACATTAGTAATGTGTTCCTTCCTGGCCATTAGGAATGAAAGAGGAAGGCCATGTTGTCTTCTTAATAACACACTTGGAAATAAACATGACACAATTTATTGATAAAACTGAAGCAAATGTTTATACAGGCAGCTTCCTCAAATCTGAGGATTAATTGTTAGGATGAATCTTTTAGAGTTATCCAAATGAGCCACTTGTCTTTCTTGGAAATAAATCTGTTATTAATGCTTCCTCAGCCAACCAGCTGCAAAACCACACACTATTCTTTGAGAGAGGAGCACAGGAAACCAGCTTGGTTCCTGGGACCTGTGGGAGAGGAATCTGAAAATCCTGGCTATTGGGGTGATACAGGACAGACCAGGCCCTCTCCT